ATGGCTCTGTGGTGTGCTCCATCATTGCCTGCATCTGCCCCCAGCCAATGTGGTAGATCGACCCGTTGCTCTCAGTGGCACGTTTCTGCATTCCAGAGCTCGGCTGGGAGGCTTTTGCTGCAGGAAGCATCAGGAAAGGAAGTTCTGTCTGGGAAAAGGCAATCTGTTTTCTGATCCAGAAAGACCTGCCAGAGGGCTTCTTCCTCAGCAGGAAGTGGCAAGATTCCCAGCTGGATTTTTAAGTTGGAAGCTGTCCTTCCTCGCTTGGCTAAACCAAAGCAGTGTAAAATACAGAACGGTTGCTAAGTGAGCTGCCACGATTTGTGGCTTGCACACAAATCTGTCCCGAAACCAGCAAATAAATGAATCGGCACTGGCCAGATGTTCACTCCTGTCTGCATCATCCACCGTGGTGTAGTGGTTTCATGGTAAATTACCAGCTACCAGCTGAGGTGGCTAGTCCTGAGATGATGATGGAACCTTCCACCTCAAGGGTTGCAAGTTCAGATCCAGCCCAGGCTCTGCAGGGCCTGCTGGCTGTTCCATACGTGAGATGAGTTGATGGGTGTCTCAGCCCTGTTTCCACAGTTGGCGCTTATTGGCCACTTGCTTGGAGGGCCCCCATGGTGAAGCCAAGCACTGTGGAAGCTGAGCTGCCCTCTCTGCTGCAGAGAAAGGATCCCTGCAGAGCAGTCTTGAGGCCTGCTGAAGGGAAAGCATCTGCTCAGTAGCTACAGGGCTTCGGTCTGAAGAGGCGCTGAGCTGACCTTTTTCAGCAGCATTGAAGGATGTTGGATTTCTGTCACCCAGGGGCCCTGGGAGGATCAATTCCACTCGCTGACATTGACATCAGTTTTCTTCTTTCCAGCCCCCGGCGCGGCCCAGGCTCCCGCGTCCCTGAAGCCGGAGCTTGGAGCTGGCCCCTCAGGGTGCCAGGTAAGTCCCATTTTTTTTGTAAATATATTGCACGTTTTTTCAAAGTTTCTTTTTCATTTCCTGTTCCGATTGTTCCCCCCCGCCCCCAAGGGTTAAATTGAAAACTTTGAAAAACCGCACAGTATATTCAGAAAAAAGGGACTTGCCTCCCCCTTAAAGGGCCAGCACCACAGGGGGGTCCAGGGCCGTTGGGACACTGCATACTAGGGTGGCACAGAGGAGAAAGGAAGCAAAATCTGGGGGTGCTGAGTAGGGACTGGTCACATTATTGGAGCTGGTTCCTTTCCCTTTGCCAGGCCTCCCTTTTAAGGATTTGATCTGCTTAGGCAGCTGGAGCATTGCCTGTGTGGGGAATATGGGAAAAGAGGCGTGTACAACGCCAGCAGCAAGACGTTTGCGTCTCCGCTTGGGGTTGGGGGTCTCCCAGGGGAACGCCGAGCAGCAGCCTTAATACCCTTCTCCCTCTGCTTCTCACCCGCAGGCCAGCAGCAGCTGACAGTCCAAAACGTGTCTGGCAACAACCTGACCATCAGCGGCCTGAGCCCAACCCAGATCCAGCTGCAGATGGAGCAGGCGCTGTCCGGGGAGATCCAGCCTGGGGAGAAAAGGCGGCGCATGGCATGCACCTGCCCCAACTGCAAGGACGGGGAGAAAAGGTGAGTGGGCAGATGGGGGCGGGACAGGTGATTGTCGGGGGGAGAGACAGACAGTGCCAGCCATCTCTGCCCCTCCCCGCCCCCACATCAGCAAGAGTAACAGTCGCGATGGTTTCCTGTCCCTGCAGGTCAGGGGATCAGGGGAAGAAGAAGCACATCTGCCACATCCCTGAGTGCGGCAAAACTTTCCGCAAGACCTCGCTGCTGCGGGCCCACGTCCGCCTGCACACGGGCGAGCGCCCCTTTGTCTGCAACTGGGTCTTCTGCGGGAAGCGGTTCACACGCAGCGATGAGCTGCAACGGCACGCCCGGACGCACACAGGTCTGTTGCCCGCCGCACCTGCTCCCCATCTCCCGTGTCCCACCAGGAGAGCCCTGCCGTGTCTCGGAGCTGGTCTTGTGGGACTGTCTCCCCCCTCTCCTGCTTCCGCTTCACCAGTAACCCCAGAGCATGCTGCCGCCTTGCCCGCCGAGCGCTTTGCTGACTAGGCGATGGGGAGGGGGGCTCCAGAGCATATGGAGGTCTCTGCTGCTTTCGCGTCACCCCAGCTGCAGCTTGGCACAGATCCGTCATCTCCCTGCAGGGGGAGGGACGGGGTGCTAGCTGTACACACGGGGAGCTGGGCGGGAAGGGGAGCATGCATCGGTGCATTCCCCCTTCCCGGCATGAGGACGCAACACGCGCCCTTCCGGGCATAAGTCTAGAGCTGGAGCGATCGAGGCTCGGCTGCAGCAGCAAGCACTGGCCTCTGGCGCGTTGAACGTTGCTCTTGTTTCCCTGGCAGGTGATAAGCGTTTTGAGTGTGTGCAGTGCCAAAAGCGCTTCATGAGAAGTGACCACCTGACGAAGCACTATAAAACCCACCTGGTCACCAAGAACTTGTAGGGTTAGCGGCAGCCAGACGCGGGGGCCGCCAGCTGGCCCTCGAGCACTGGCTAAGCCCCGCACTGCCATGGACAGTCCCCGGCATGGGTACGGCGTAGGGGTTGGGCAGACGGCCAGCCTGGGACTCCACAGCCGTAGTCGCGCTCCTGGCTTTGATACCCTCCCAGAGGTGTCTGCGCGGGGAGAGGAGTCATTGCTGATCTTCCTTCCTCGGAAGCCATCCGCCTTCCAGCACAGTCCTTGGGAATCCAGCTCCTTCCTCCGCAGAGCGCGTCAGAGCCGGACATTGATTGCACGGGCCGGGACGAAGGGGAAGCCCTTATTTCCAAAGGAAAATGCTAACGTGGGTGCGAGCGGCAGATGCTCCTCGCTGCGTCGCGGGCTGGGGGGACTGAACAAGCCGTGCCGTGCCATCCTCATGTAAACGGAACAAGGATGCCGGTGAAACTTTCTCACGGTGCCCCCCCACTCCCTGCGCTTGTGAAGCTTCGACACAGCCGGGGGCAGCACTCCACAGACAGCCCACCTGGCGCTCTGCGGCACATTCCTACTTTATATTTAAAATCTATAAATAACTATAAATATCTCTCTCTATAAACTCCTTTGGAAGGCCCCTTTTTTCTATGGAAATTGTTGCCTTATGCTCCCAGCTCCCAAGTATGAACACTGTGTATCGTGAGTGCTTTTTTTTTTTTTTTATTTAATTGAGCCCGTTTAATAATCTGCCCTCCCAATCCTTTTCCCTCCAAAGTTCTTTTCTAATTATGAATTGAAGAGGTTTTTTTCCTCTCCGCTGATTTATTTTTCCTTTTCATTTCTCGGTGACATGGCATTTCCTTTTGAATCTTGGATCTTTAAATCCTCTTTTGCCCATAATGCCAACCCCCACCCCCACCCCCGGCAGCCCATCACTGTGTATAGTGTATATTGTATCATAGACTATATTGCTTCCGTGTTTACTACATGTTTCAAAAACATATGGCTTGTTATTTTTGAGCTTTTAAATTAAAAAAAAAAATCCACTTTATTTTTTAGTTGTAACTGCTTGAGGTATGTTTTATGAATTAAGTGACAGATCTGTTGTTCTTTATTAACGATGTAACTGGCTGGCTGGTGAAGAGTCAGCCAAGAGTTTTTTTCTTGCTAAATAAATTTAGTCGCCAGAGGCAAACCCAGCATGGGAAGCAAAGGATCCTTTGTCTTGTAAGCGTGACGCCTGGTAAAAGGGACCAGTTTTTGGGGAGTGGTGAGATGGTTAGTTGGGGGGTGACCAGGTCAGTTGTTTGTATCACAGTAGCACCAAGAGACCCGCTGAGATTTCAACCCCGTCCACTGGAGCCACCTACATTGTCTCTGCCCCAAGGAGCTGACAATCTACCTAGACAAGGCAAAAGCTGGGTGGAGAAAGGTCGGGGCACAGAGGGGAAGTGACCTGCTCAAGGTCAGTGGGAGAGCTGGGAATGGAACCCAGGTGTCCTGAATCCCAGGCCAATGCCCCACCCACTGGACCACACTGTTATTTGTAGTAGGGCCCCATTGTGCTAGGAGCTGTGCGTTAGAATAAGAGACAGTCCTTGTTGCAAAGAGCTTTCCAGTTGCTGCCCACTGGCTTTTGTCTTTTGGAGCATCTCTCTATCCTCCCGAGCTTCACCCAAAAAAGGATCCCGTTGGTACAGTCAGGCCGGACCTCAGAACCATCTGTGGGTCTGCGAGTCCTTCCCTGGATAGGGCGACACAAGCTTTACCCTCTAACCTGCCTGACCTTGGGAAATGAGCTGCTGGTTCCCCACAGACGAGTGTCCATGTCGAGAGGACATGGGGCATGGGACATTCTTAACCAAAAATCAGATGGAGGGGGCTCGGCCCTTTAAACCCCCTTCTCCAGGGCAGGGGCAATGCTGGGGAAGCTCTGGTGCTGTCCCTGCTCCGGATACCCGAAGGCCTTCAATCAAGCCCCATTCACCAGCACTGGGCAGGAAAAAGTACAGTTGATGACTTTCAAAAGCTGCCCGGTGACCTGGAGGGCAGGGGAAATTGCTCAGGAACTGGAGTCATTGGAAAGTGTCCCACCACCTCCGTCCCTCCCCCTCCACACACACGCTGCCCCTGCTGTGCTCTGGTAGCATCTCCTGGAAGCAAGAGAAGGATCCTCTTAAAGGAGCCAGCTTCAGCGTCCGGGGTCAGCTCACCCTCGGAAATGGGAAGGTGGGAATTGCCCCATTCTGAGCCTGCCAGAGGAGGCCAATAACTGCACCAAACGGGCCACTTTGAATTCTCTTTCAGGTCACCCGACAGAGGCGTTCAGGCTGAATCCTGGCTTGGGAGTGGGGGGAAGCCCTCCTGCCCCAGATGCTGAACGATGGAAAGAACTCCTGGTTAAAATTACCCCGCCTGTTTTGGCTGTGTCTACCGTAGGCAGCTTAGCGCTACTTCTAATCTCTGTGACAACCCTAGAGACTATAAATTCCTCCATGCTCCCCCTCCACCCTCAGCATGGGGAAGCAGGCGGGAGAAACAACTGTTACATTCCAACCTTTATTAGGGAAGTTGAGGGGAGAGGAAAGATTATTTTATTTACAAGAACAAATATTTATGGGAACTTTCTTTACGGGGGGGGGGGGGGAATAATGCCTCGCCCACAGTTAAATTATTACACCTACAATGAGCAGAGAAATTGCTTTTTGAGCCGCACCGTGAGCCTCTGCAGGAGAGCAGACCTTGCCCTGTGGGAGGGAGATGAAATCCCCCCCCCCACTCCAAAGACTAAGGCTCTGAGTTCATCTACAGGCCCGGTCGGTTAAACAGTCTGGTAAGAACTGTTTCAAAGCAGAAGTTCCCCTGCTCTGGCCAGAGTCCAGTGCCGTGACTGCAGCCTGGGCCCCGTTCCACTGCCAGCATTGTCCCTCTTCCAGTCCGATGTGAGGGGAGAAGAGTTTGCCCACAGGCGGAGGAGAGGGCCGCAGTGTTAATGTTCAGCGTCACGGAGCCGGGATTCCTGACTGGAGCTGACAAGTTTTGAAAGAGGACCGAGATTTCCCATGGGTGAGTGCAGCGTCCCAGTTGGGATCAACCCTCCCTCCTCAGGGACTCGTTAGAACGGAACGTCAGAACTCTTGCGCCAGAACGTACCCGCCAGCTCTCTTCTCCCCCAGGCGCGGCAGATCCCAGATGCTTCCTTAGAAGGCGTTAAGTCTCCCCTCCCCAGGAATGCACGCACCGAGGTCTGTATGCTAGGACTGAATGCCCCAGGACGGCCACACAGCAGGCGCTTCAGGCCTTGTGGTGCATGTACTAAACTGCACCACGGCTGCCCCCGTAACGTCTGCTGGGAGGGGTGCGTTACCTCCACCATGCTCACCCCCAATGCAGCTGTGTGGGAGGGGACCTGGGCCACCAGCACCGCTGTGTCGATCTCCCGCCAGCGTACGTCGGAGTAGGGGGCGATGGATCCTCTGAGGAGCGTCTTGGGAGCTGGCAGCTGGTTCGCCGTTGTCTCGATGGACGTTGCCGTCTACTCCATTTTGATGATCATTTTTTTGACCGCCCTCCGGGAGGTGCCACACTTGCTGTTGATCACGGCGTTGAAGTTGCAGCTCTTGCCGCACACTTTGGTGACGTACTCTGGAGGAGGGTGAGGAGGGCAGAGAAGTGGAGCAAAAAACCAGCGTAGTTCTGGCTTTTTCTGAATCCACTGAGATGAATCACGCCAGATCCCATCATGCAAAACCCACGCTCACCCGCAATGCAGCGTGTGGGACCCAGACAAGGACACCATGCCCCTGGTCCTGCACTCTCATCCCTGATGTGCTACTAACTTGCTCTGCGACCTTGGGCATCACCCATCCAATCTGATCGTGCATTTAGCACGGTGGTATCTTCACCCTCTGAGTCTGAATCTTTTGCTGCCGAACGGGGTGGTACTCCCTACGTCACAGGAACTGCGCGAGGGTGGCTGATCAACTGGATCAGAAACGCTAGTAAGTTGAAGGTGTGTAAAGTGCAGGGGGCGAGACTGGCAGGCGTGACTGGGGATCTGGGCTGCCTTGGCTTGTGGGTGCCCAATCTGAGACCCCTTGACTCAGCACCAGCACTCTGAAAATCAGGACCCTTTCAGGTGCCTCGAGTGGACCCTTTCTGGAAACCTTGGCCTGCATCTGCTGTTAGAATTGTTCCGACGTCTCCGCCTGTCCAACCCAGGCCCACAGCTTGGGGTATTAAAACTAACCCTCTCTTTCTGCAGCCTCACGTGCGTCTCACCACTAATGCTGGGTGGTTACGTTTTGTAATTCGCTGGGTCAGGCCCAGTGACTTCCTTGGCAGTAACAACGCTGCTGCGTTTGGGGGTCCTGAACTACGGCAGAAGGGAAAGTTGTACCAGCCCGGATGAGGGTACGGATAAAATATATTCCCAAATAGCAGATTGGAGGCTTCGAGGGGCTGGGAATGGGCTCTAAGCATTTCTTCTCTAGGTCCCCAATTCAAATCAAGCCCGGCTCGCCAGGGACTGAAAATCATTATCTCCCTGGGGCCAAGGTGAAAGGAGTGAGGCGGCTCGGTCCTCTTGTCAGTAGGCAGCTAGTCCCAATCCTCACCACCTGGCATTAACTGGCCAGCTCTGGCAGTCTCATCAGGGGAGCTGAGAACTGCATAGGCCATGCAGAGGGGAGAGGCTGCCCGAGGAAAACCCCAAGCAGGCCTGAGTCCCGTTGGCTTTGCTATGGGACGGATGCTTGAACTGCCCCTGCCTGCGCTATCCGCCAGTTCTGTGGATCCAGTCTCAGGCGGTCCGACTTTGTACCAAACAGAACCCCTCCTGCTGGGCAAGGACAATGGAGGAGGTGAGCAGAAGGAACCCGTCGGCCAGGATCAAACAGCGTCATCCTGTCCCTTTTGCAGGGGATCGATACTATGCGCGCTCTCCACCCTCTGCGTCGTTGGGAGCCCCAACCTCACCCCATCTCCCGCCACAAAGCCCCCTACCCACCCCCCCTACCTTTGATAGCATTTACCACAGCGACCGGCAGGCGGATGGGTTTCTCCATGGTCGTGTTGTTGTGGGCAATGCGCTGGCCGGTGGCCGAAGATCTGGCGAGCGTCTCCCGGGAGAAGAAGTAATCCAGCAGGCGCCTGGTCATCAGCTTGGGCTTGTCGGTGGAAACCTGCGAGAGGTCGTCCAGCTGGTTGTGGGTGATGTAGACCCCCGAGTTGGGGATCAGCTCCAGCTTGGGCCTCCCATTCTCCTAGGGCAAAAGGAGAGAAGCCCCTCGTCATTCCGCTCTTTGTGGGTGCCTGGAATCTGGGGAGACTCAGGCAGACCCCCCCCCCGGGTAGGCTAAACGAGCGACAGGTGCTGGGCTAACCCCAGCTGTCCTTTCTCAGGCCCAAGCCCATGGATCTCAGTGAGGGGATATCAGCCCCCATTTTACAGATGGGGAAACTGAGGCACTGAAAGGTTGAGTAACTTGCCTCGGGTCACACAGCACGTTACTGGCAGAGCTGGGAATACAACCCAGGAGTCCTGACTCATCTCCTGCTCTAACCACTAGCCTACACTCCATCCTACAGCCAGGATTAGAACCCAGGATTCTTGCCTCCCTGCTCTAGTCACTCACCTGCACTCCTGCCTTTAAACTGGAATTTAGGCAAGGGCCTACTTAAAATAGGGCAGGAAGGTGTTTGTCCGAGAGCAGCGGCCACACTGAGAACTGCAAGCTGAGTGCTGCAGAGCACCCCAGATACTATACGGCAAACCTGGAAGGGTAGGGATGGTTCTGGCTCCAAGGAGAAAAGATAATGCCCAATCCCCCCTCCCTCCCGAGGCGTGTGCGCCACCCCCAATTATGGCCAGTGCCCTCCCGTGGTCCCATTAGGCAGTATCCCCATGCAGTCAATGAGCAATGGCCCACATAGGAGCTGATCGTGGATCACCCACCTCCACAGGTGATGCCCACACTGGGGTGCCATCGGGCAGCATATCTTGTACGTTCTCCTCCCATAAGCAGGTGGCATCACTGAGCGTGACGGGGCTCCCCGAGCTGTCCTCTGTGCTGATCCAGGGTGGGAAGCTGCTTGGGACCCCAGCTCGCATCCTCCAGACCGGGGGGCTTTTGGGGACCTCAGCTGGGGTGCACCTCTGCTCCCCCATATTGGGAGAGGAGAATGGCTGGAGGCCATTGGCCTGCAATAGGAACGAATGCGTGGGGATGCCACACACAGGGATGCGTGGTGGAAAAACTGGGTGACGAATGAGCTATCCCTTTCTGCCTCCACCCCTTCCCGCCTCCCAGGAGAGGACAGGTCCTCCATACAACTCTGACCCGACCTGCTTTCAGTTCTCTGCTCCTCAACACCAGACAGAAACTGGAGGGTGTTCAGAGAAGAGCAGGGTCCTGGCTGGAGAAACTGAGCTAAATCATTTGAGGCTTGGCTAACAGGAGGACGTGATCAGAGGCTGTGAAGGGGGGAAACACCAAGGGGGTGCCCAGGAGACTCGGCTTGCCCCTGCAATGATACAATAGGGTTTAACAGGGATATGGGGGGGTGCGGGGGAGGGAAGAATGACAGCAGAGAGTGTGGGATCATCTCCCCAGGAGCAAAATCCCCCCATTGTCTGGAATATTTAAAATTACAGTGGGCCACGCCCTAGAAAATGTTCTCCAGGACCGAGAGGCTGGGCAGATGGGCTCGAATGGGGTTTCTTCATCTCCGGCCTCTCTGATTCATATGCACCCTTGGAAGGGAGACAAGCCAGGGAAGCGTTTTGCCTCCAAGGTGCTGGTAGCTACTGCTCAGACAAGGGTAGACAATGGGGCACCCACCTGCAACGCCGTGTTGCTCTCCAGCAGCCCCACCAGGCCCTTCAGGAACTGGATGTTGCTCTCGTTGATGTCTGGGGAGAGACGCGCACACAGAGACAGAACTGAGCATCGCAGAGGCCCATGGGAAACCAATTCCATCCCTGGTCTGGCCTCAGGCTGAGCTGGGTCACACGAGAGTCCCAGGCACACACACAGAATAGGAGTCCTTCCCTATCCACCCTGGTGCCCACTTCTTGCCCAGAGTTCCTACAGGTGCCTGTCCCTTGATCCCAGCCCAGGGGCCTCTCTACAGAGCTGCTGGCCGTGCTCTTCTCTCTTGGCAGAACCGCTAGAGTTCCAGCCACCCCACTCGAGCTGGAGGCAGGACCCCACGGAACGTGCAGGGGGAGGCCAGAGTCTGCTACCAAGCCTTGAGCTCACACACAGGTATTCCCAGCTCTGACCTAGGGACATGGGCTTTGCCCAGCTGGATCAGACCATTGATCCATCAGGCTGAGCTGCTGCATCCAGCTTGGGCCAAGGCCTGACACCTCAGGATAAGGTGACGCCCCCCACCACGCACGCTCTGATGCCTCTGGCCGGCTGGGCGCCTTTTTAAGTGGGGAATGTAGAGACCAGCAGAGGCCTTGGAGCCTCGAGATCGGGTTAACGCCATCAGAGCTGGCATAGCTGCAAACTGCCTCCACGATGCTAAGGCAGGAAGGGAAGGAGGATTCGGTTACCAACACAGCTGTTTCCGGACCGCAGCACTGTCCTGGCTGCCGCTGCCCCTGCCCCGTTCCTGCTGGAGAGGAGGTCGTTCTGCTCCTCTAGGTTCCGCAGCTGGCTCTTCAGCTGCTGGTTCTCCAGCTCCAGCTCCTTGATCCTCCTCTCCTGCCACATGGCGGCCTCTTCCCGAGAGGCGAGGAGATTCCGCAGCTCGGCCATCTGCAGCTCCAGCTCCTTGACCAGCTCGGCGTATAGACCCGTCACCTTGCTCGCTTGGCTGCTAATGCTGCTGCCTCCTGAGGGAGCTCGGCCGCTCCATGGGCAGCAATCCTCGAGTCCGTAATTCAGGGATGGAGACTCCAGTGGCTCTGGGCTGGGCCTGTAGAGCACCGAGGCCCCAGAATGCGTGGCTCTGGGATTGTCCAGAGTCCTGGTGTGTGGCAGCCCGTCCTGGGGACGTCTGCTGTGGAGATCCAGGCTATTGCTCTGAAGGATGTGTCCAAAGGGGGATGGGCCCTGGGGCTGTGGCCCGCTCAGCGCACGACGGAAGTGAGAGACAAGGCTAGGACTGGCCTCGGGTCCATTGGAGAGCCTGGGTCTTTTCCGGTTCTTGACCTCCTCTTCCACGCACAGCAGAGAGTGGCTGGGCCTCCCAAGGCTGCTCAGGGCTCCATGGGATTGGGCGCTAGAAGCAGACAAAAGCCAAAAAGAAGAGATTATAATTAAATCACATCTTTCCAGCCCTTACTGTCTCCAAATACTGTACAAACGGTGTGTATGCACATGTGCGCATGCAGCAACCACATCACCCACCAGTGAAATGCAGCCACCTCTGGGGTGGTATGTGGCAGCTGTTTAACACAGCAATTTATGGGAGGAAGTGAAGGAGAATGTTATATCCACTTGAAACTCCAGGGGGAATTTCTGGAGGTAGATTGGAACCGCTGGAACTCCACCACTGGGCAGGCTACTGGGGCTAACTCTTGTGAAAAGTTCCAGAGGGTCTTTAATGGCCACAAGCCTTCAGGATTGTGGCTTTCGGTGAGATTCAAAAGACAGCGTATTCAAAGCCTGTCTGACTTTGGTGAGCATTGCAGGGACCTTGCACTAATACAAAAACCTAAACTAATGCAAAAACCTCCTGGTATGCTGCCGAATCACCAGCACTGGGGTGGTCCGTGGAAGTCTCCTAGACAAAGACTAGGCTCTGCTTAGCTTGTGAGATCAGACAGGTCCTAATGACAAAAAGCTCTTCCATTTTCTCCCCAGCTAAAGCTATTGTATTCACTCTATCTAGGGACTTAGATGGCCCTCTTCACTGCAGCATCAGAGCACCTCACCCTTATTCATGGACTCAGATTCCAAGGCCAGAAGGGATCATTGTGATCATCTAGTCTGACCTCCTGTACAACACAAGCCAGAGAACTCCCCCAAAACAATTCCCTGATCAGATCTTCTAGAACAACGTCCAGTCTTATTTTAAATTTGGCAGTGATGGAGAATTCACCATGACCTTTGGTAAATTATTCTAATGGTTAATGATCCTCCCTATTAAAAATGTACACCTTATTTCCAGTCTGAATGGGTCTAGCTTCATCTTCCAGCCGTGGGAGCATGCTAGACCTTTCTCCGCTAGATTGAAGAGCCCATTATTAAGTATTTGTTCCCCATGTAGGTACTTACAGAATGTGATCAAGTCACACCTGAACCCTCTCTTTGAATCTATCACTACAAGGCATTTTCTAATCCTTTACTCATTCTTGTGGCTCTTCTTTGACCCCTCTCCAATTCATCTTCAGTTGTGGACACCAGAACGAGACTGTATCCTCAAAGCACACCTGGGATATGGGGGAAGTATTATCTCCACTTTATGGACAGGGAATTAAGGTTTGGGATTAGAATAAGCAGCCTAGAGATTCCACAGCAGAGATGGGTGTAGAACCCAAGTCCAGCGCCCTATCTGCTACACTCACATGAGATTCTGAATTGTAGCTGCTGCTTTTGGGGCCCTGCAGAGTCATTCCCTAGGAACTGGGATCTAATGAGTGGGACCAGAGGGCTAAGGGAGCTGGGGCCTTTCCCCTGTTAGTTACAGTTCAAATCCAGCCCAGTGACTGCCAGCTGTTACCATCAGTTGGCTGTTCAAGGAATTGTAAGAAACAAGCTTCAAGGTCGCAATTCAGTTCCTGCTGGGCAGGTGTCCCATAACAACAGCCACCATTAAAGCTGGAGGTGAAGTAGCTTGCCCAAGGTCACCCAACAGACCAGCAGCCAAGCCAGGAATTAAACTCAGGTCTGCTGAGTCCCAGTCCAGTGCTCTAGCCTCTAAGCCACACTGCGTTTTGAAAAAGTCACCGCAAGTACCCCACTCCTGTGCCTTCCCACCAGTTCTCCGTGGGTGAATCAGTTGTGGCATGTCCCCACCTCCTACCTGGTACATTCTGGGGGGGCATGTCCTCGGGACTCCTGGAGCTCCAGCTCCTGGGGCTGCTGGAAGTCAGGGCTGCAGAGAGCAGCACCGTCCAGCCCAGGCTCAGATAGTTTGTACAGTGGGTGATCGTCTGGCTGCTTGCCATCTCCTGTCCCTTGCTCCATGGCCTGGAGGTGGCTCTGCAGAGCTTGCAGGTCAGTTACACCACCAGACATTGGCTCTCATCACCACAGCTTCCAGCCCCAATGAAACATAGTGGAGGAGAGGGAGGAAAACTCAACCTGCTGAAGAGAGAAGGGAGAGAGAGATGGGAAGAGACACCAGCAGGGAAAAAGAAATGGAGAAGGATTATATACAAATACCAGTTTTGATCTGACATTGTCCTAACACTCTCACCATTGGTCCTGTCGATCCAGCCCCCAATTTCTACCTCCCCCCAGCACCCACACACACATTCTCTGGGTTCAGGATTAGTTTAGCTTTCCGTCCTACTCTCTGAGTAGCCCCATCACCCTTGCCTCTGACCCCTCTCCCCTATCTCCCTCCCCTCTCTCTGATGCACATGTTCCCCTCCTTGTCCCACATCTGATTCCCCAACCCCCCTGTAAAAAACAGCCCTATTTTGACTGTTTGCCTATTTTGACACCTGCTTCTCCCTCATCCTGTTCCTGTCTGGCCCTTCACTGCTCTCTGTTCCCTTCTCCTCCTCCCTTACAAGCCCTGATTGCCCACTTTGCTCCCTCTTTGCCCTCTGTCTGGCCTCCTCCCTTTCTTGTAACCTCATAGAATCATAGGACTGGAAGGGACCTCGAGAGGTCCTCTGCACTCAAGGCAGAACTAAGTATTGTCTAGACCATCCCTGACAGGTGTGTGTCCAACCTGCTCTTAAAAATCCTCAATGATGGAGATTCCACAACCTCCCTGGGCAATTTATTCCAGTGCTTCACCACCCTGACAGGTAGGAAGTTTTTCCTAATGTCCAACCTAAACCTCCCTTGCTGAAATTTAAGCCCATTGCTTCTTGTCCTATCCTCTGAGGCCAAGAAGAACCATTTTTCTCCATCCTCCTTGTAACAACCCTTCATGTATTTGAACCTGTCTATTCCTGTCTCTTTTCCCCTCTTCCTTTCCTTGTCCTCTGCCTGACTTCCCTCCACTCATGACATCTGTCTGATCCCCATCCGCTTCTCCTCGCCCTGACTGAACCCACTTGTCTCCTGTCTGGAGCCTTGTCTGCCCCTCCCCCTCTGTTTTCCCCACATGTCCCCTGTCTGCCCCTTCCCTCTGTCTATTCCCCCCACATGTCCCCTGTCTGCCTCTTCCCTCCTTGCTCCTGTCTGTCTCCCACACATCCCCTTCCCTCTGTTTCCCCCATATGCCCCCTGTATGGACCCCCCCCTTCCGTCCCCCACCTCTTGTTAGCCACCCCCATCCTTCCCTCCCCCCCGGGACGCTGTACCTTTAACAGCCCCTCCATGTGCCTGTTTACAGCCCTGACACCATTTCCTGGTCCCCGAGTCCCGCCCCTGCCGCTTCCCCACTGGCCGAGGCCTGGCCCTCTCTCCCTCCTGATTGGAGGCCAGGCATCAACTCCCTATTGGCTGCTGGGGCAGGGGGCGTGAGCTGAAATCGCCCCGCCCCGGCGTGCGGCACGTCCGGCGTCCTGCCCACTTAAGGGGCGGGGTCTTTGCGCGCGCGTGCGCGGGACGGGGGCGGGGCTATGATGCGTTACGCGGCGCGGAGCGGGCTGCGCGTTTGGGCCTGGCGCGGCTCCCGTCCCTCTGGGCAGGTGGCAGCTGCAGCCATGGACCTGGGGCCCCTGAGGAAAAGCTACCGGGGGGACGAGGAGGTGAGGGGGGTCCCGGTGAGGGGGCTACGGGGGGGTCCCGCTGGGGGAAGGGTCGCGGTGGGGGGGGCTACAGGGGGGGTCCCGCTGGGGGAGGGGCACGGGGGGAGGGTTCTAGAGGGGGAGGGGCTCAAAGAGGGAGGGGAGGGGGCGAGGAGGAGGGAGGAGCGGGATCAGAGATCTCTGCCCCCCCCCACAGGTGGGGTGCACAGGTGGGGTGCCCCCCCACACAGGTGGGGTGCACAATCACCCCTCCCCCAGAGGTGCCCGGGCTGGCAGGTGAGCCAGTCTTTACCCTGCTGCCCCTTGAGCCATGATGCTCCCCCCTCCCCCCACCCGCCAAGGCTCCCCCAGATCCTGCCCTTATCCAAAGTCTGGGCGGGGGGTTGTGGTGGGGATCACAGAAAAGCCCTGTTCGGGCCCCGTTCGTCTCTAGGGGCTGGGTTGGGTTCCTTGCTCACAGCCAACCTGTGGCACTCGTCCGTCAGGGGATGTTGCGAAGGCCAGAAGTACAGCCGGGCTCAAAGAATGAGATGAGTTCCTGGAGCACAAGTCCATCAAGGGCTATTAGCCAAGATGGTCAGGGACACCCCACCATGCTCTGGGTATCCTTAGCCACTGTTTGCCAGAAGCTGGGACCGGATGACAGGAGATGGGTCACTTGATGATTACCTGTTCTGTTCATTCCCTCTGGGGCACCTGGCATCGGCCACTGATGGAAGACAGGATACTGGCCTAGATGGATCGTTGATATGACCCAGTGTGGCCGTTTTTATGTTACACACAGGGCTGTGCCTGGCTTTAATAGCCTGCCCTTCTGTCTAAGGACTTGGCTACATGAGAGAGTTATAGCGGTATAAGATAAGGTGTGCATTGAGGTTGTGTGTACACCAGTATAATTATATCAGTATAAATGGTAAAACTTGCCCATGTAGGCAAGCCCTAAGCCTCTGAGCATATTAAAACCAGTGGATTAATCCTCATAACCACCTGTGAGGGACCTAAATTCTAATCTTCATTTACAGGGGAAACTGAGGCACAGAGAGGCAATGAGAGGGCAAGGTCATGCAGAGCTGGGACTAAAATCCAGGTCTCCTGACACCCAGGCCCACGCTTTAAGCTTCAAGATCAGCCTTTCCATTACTCAGCATGGGATAAGTCAGCAGCTTCACAGAGCTCAGCTGACCTAAAAAAAATCAACAAGCGGTGAATGAAATAAAAAACCAGGGAGTGTTCTCCAGTGGCTAGAACAGGGAGTCGGACAGGGCAGGGTCAGGACTTTAGGTTCTGTTTTGACTCTGTCATTGGCTCACTGTGTGACTTTAAGCAATGTGTCTCCTTTCAAATGTGGATAATCAGAGACCGTTCAGCGGGCTGGGAGTTGTAAAGCTAAACTCATGTGGGCTGGTTCCTGCAGCTACAGGGTTAGCAGGATTTGAGATGATGTGTGGGAAGTGAAGGATCCTGACGGTTGATGGGTGGGGATGTAATACTTCAATTCTTCTGCTCCTCTCCCCGTTTCTGTCCTGTGCAGGCATTTGAGGAGAAACATCTCGCCTCCTTTGACCCGATTAAGCAGTTTGCCATGTGGTTTGAAGAGGCCATGCAATGTCCCTCAATCGGCGAAGCCAATGCTATGTGCCTGGCCACCTGTACCAGGTGGGCATTGCAAGACGGTCGCTGGCAAGGTGCTTGCTGGCCCAGAATCTCTCCTATCTGCATCTTTGGGTGACTTCCTTTGCTGCTTTCCTGCGGTGACGTGCACTGCTAGCTTTCGTATCCTAGGCTGGGTAACCTGGCACGTAGGGAAGCAGACAGCTTCTGGCATGTTTGTATGGACAGTAAGGAGCAAATCCAGGGGCACAGCTATGTGTTGGAACGGGACTAGGCATTTGCCCTGTTACATCAATCAGGTGACCCATCCAGCCCATTATTCTGGCTCCAGTGGGGTCCAATCTCAAATGCTTTAGAGGAAGGCACAAAAGCCTGTAATGTGCAGCCTCCTATAATGAGGTACAGGGTGAGAGGGGGTGGTGAACCGTCCTCCTGATCTCAGCAATGCTCAATTCATGACTGGAAAGAAGAGGGTAGCTTCCCTTCACCTTTGCCTGGGTGGGTGGGCAGTCTCTGGAATGTATCTATGTATGTGGTTGCACTTCTGTGTTGACTCGTGCATTTGTTCCCTGGCTCAGGGATGGGAGGCCCTCTGCCCGCATGGTGCTCCTGAAGGGGTTTAGCCAGGATGGCTTTCGATTCTTCACTAACCACGAGAGCCGGAAAGGAAAGGAGCTGGTGAGAGCTGCCTCGTGGGTTACAGACCATGTCGTTCATTGATTTGTGTGGGGCATGTCACTTGAGGACAGGTTTCGGTCATGCTCTGGCACCTCTGAGGGTTGGGCGTGGTACCAGGAGGGAGGATCCTGGGGGACGTAAGATGTTGACCATCAAGCAGGTAAACTACCCACTGGCCTGTATTTTCCATAACTCGATGGGCACCTGAACTTTGCTCAGATGAGGGGCAGGACGCCGACTTGCCAGGTGCTCAAGGTCTGCACCAGACTTGCATTGAATCAAGTGGACGGCAGCTGCCTCTCTCCTTCAGTATAGAAGAGCAGCCCACAGATAGGCCTCAGGGACCAAAGTGCCTTTGGCTATGTTGATCATAGGTGTGGGGATCAGAGAGTGAGAGGGAGATGTCTCCGTGTGCCCCTCTCCACTCCCCATCCTGCTTTGATCAAGATGATGCATAGCATGTTGACTCCTCACCATGGGCTGTGTTGGCTTAGTCTGTCTTGCGCTCTTAAGTGCCTCCAAGTCCCAAACCATCGAGCTGGGAGAGGTGGGTAATTTCTCTAGCTTTTAAGATCTGAACTATTACCTAATTGATGAAAGTCCTTTGTTTTGTGTTTTTTATCCCCCTGCCTCCCCACTCTTCAGGATTCCAATCCTTTTGCCTCAGTCGTCTTTTACTGGGAGCCCCTTAACCGCCAGGTGAGTTGTGCCTTCTGATTCCAATCAAGGGGAGGAAGCGGCAGAGGGGAGAGGCTCAGCACCCTGCACGCAGTATCATAGTTACATTCGTTCCCTGGGATGCCCTGGTGAGGCCTGTTGCGCAGAAGTGCTGGAGGAGATGGCAGATGCAGTCTACTTCAGAGCCACACCCTCACTTTCAAAATGCAGACTGCAGCACTGAGCAGAGACCCTCTGTTTGCTCATCTTGGGCTGGAGAGGCTTCTTAAAAGATCAAAAACTGCTTTACACCAGATGGGACGGATGGTTGGAATCTGTAACTTATTTAGCTCCTTGGGGGCTGCGACTTTGAGAACTTGAGGTATTCTTACCGCGCCAGAAGCGTGCTGGGCTAGCCTCTAGGTTATGAATTGCGCTTACAGAGAATGCTCACACGCCACTGAAAGCAGCTGCCTCTGGGGTAGAAGGTGGTAGTGGTGTAACAGCCCTCAGCAACGCAGCACAATAGTTCTTAGAAGGGGAATTGAAGAATAACGCCAAGAAGTGTGTCTATTGACTTGAAACTGCAGGGTCATTTAGGGCAGCAAACTGTAATTACCAGAGTAGGAGACTGTTTTGCAGGTCAGCTACGTACCGGAGAAAAAAGGGAGGGCACGGCAGGTTTCTTATGGGGGAAGGAAATCTGGGTCTTTAATAATGGACAGTGGGGAGAGAGGCACTGAAACCAACTGAGTTCTAAGTGGCTCTCAGGTGGGTTCTCTAGACCTTCCCAATTGACTCTGCCTGAGGTGGGGGGCTGGTGAGTTGGCTGCCTTCCAGGGAGCTAGGTTCTGGAGAGGAGTTAAATCCCTTTCTACCCTGCAGGATGTGGTGGTGATTCAAATTGTGTCTAGCTCATCCCCATCTCAGGCCGGGGTTGGTGATCACCTGGAATAACAGCAGGGGGACGGAGGGAGCACTTGACATTTGGCGAATCCACAGGGGGATGATAGACTGATGTCCCACCCTTATTCTCGTGGAAACCACGATCCTAATCTTGTTTTCAAAATGTACTTGGTCTCCTTCTGGCCCCTAGCGGAAGTGTGTCCATCTTCCGGGGGCCAGGTCCCATCTCACTGTGGCTGTCGCAGGTGCGTATCGAGGGCTCTGTGGAGAGACTCCCAGAGGAGGAATCGGAGCACTACTTCCACTCCCGGCCCCGAAGCAGCCAGATCGGGGCAGTTGTGAGTTGCCAGAGCACAGTGATTCCTGACAGGGAGGTGAGGAGCAGTGGGACTTGAGGGTGGGGTGGATTGTGCTGGATTCCAGCCCCTTGGGTGTGTCAGAGCTTTCCCTGGGGACTGTTGTTCCCTCGCTGTGTCCCCCCAGTGCATCTTATCTCCTGCTGGGGGGCAGTGAGGGCCCCAGGCCATGCTTTGCGTCCTTTTTGCATGTTTGCTCCATGGCAGAAAGCCCCAGGCCTTCAGACTGTCTCCCTTTCCCTTGCAGTATTTAAGGAAGAAGAACACAGAACTGGAAGAGCGGTACCGGGAGGGAATTGTGCCAAAGCCTGTGTACTGGTGAGTGGTGCTTAGTTGCTAAAATCAGCTTTTGTGTAAGCTAGGCCTGGTCTCCCCCTCTCTCCTTTGATGTCCCTTCCCATTCTTCCGCTACAGCTCTGAGTGCCTCAGCTGTGGTTATTAGAAATTGGGGGGATGCTGGTCTCCTTAAAAGTGCCAGGAGATCTCGGATTCCCGGCTGGTAGAGATGGACAGTTGGCACCTAGATTTAATCTTTCCAAAGGGTGGTACCTCTCCATAGTGTTGTTGCTGCTGCTCCCCCCTCTGCCACGCTCTGCCCTGCAGCATCGAGGTTAGATTTAGACTGAAGGCCAGGTGCAGGGCTTGAACCTAAAGCTTTCGTGCAGCTGAGTACCACCTCCTGAAAAAGCCTGGATTTACTTAAAGGATTCTTCAGGGAGTCAGTTAGGGTTGAGATTGGCCTGCTTTTGAGCTGTTCCCTGCAAGAAGAGGCAGAGCGCATCCCAGAACGGTGAGCATCATTGGGCTTGGCGTGCGTGTGTGCGGACGCCTCGCATCCTTCTGAGGTGCCCCCAGACGGTCGTGATCTGTGCTATGTAAAAGCTTGGCTCCATCCACTTTGTCGTAGGGAACTTCCTGGTCCCACTTGGCTTTGTGTGAAGGCTGCTGCTCTGCATGGGCGCTTCTAACAGCATCTGTTTTTCCCTCAGGGGGGGATACATCCTGAAACCAGACGTTGTGGAGTTCTGGCAGGGCCAAACCAACCGCTTACATGACCGCATCGTCTTCCGGCACCTCCGGGACGCCACTGCCCCCACGGGACTCATGACACACAAGGGAGAGGGGAACTGGGTGTATGAGAGGCTTGCCCCTTGAAGGCCAAGAGCTAGATCATTTCACATAGGGACCTGGGATATATTCAGTACCCTTCTGCCCCCCCACCCCCTTCCCCAGGAGCAGCGGAGAATGGGGTACGGCCCCCTTGCTCCTGCACTTCACAGGGCAACTATCTTAACTTTTACAAAACCAGGCAATATCTGGGGTGCTCAGAGGTACCAGATTGACAGCCCTGGAGACTGAAGCCCTCTATCTATCCCAGTGTGAGCTTCCCCCGCCAAGATATGTCTGCCCTGACGTAAAGGGATAACTCTGGGCATGGGGTCAGTTTAGTCTCCATAGGGGGGGCAGTTAGTACCAACTGTGGTGGTTTCTGTATCGTGTGGATGCTGCTTTACAGGGAATTGGGCTGAGACCCGCCAAACTCATTTCACAGAGAGGCCATTGGCTAGTGATTCTCTTGGACCTCTTGTTGATTATATGGACCCGCCTGCCAAGGGGGTGGCTGACACAAAACCACAGGCAGGCTGGCTCTCCTGGACAGCCTCTCTGTAAGTGCCTCCTGCCTAAGGGCCTCCCTGTTTTAGCCTGCCAGTCCTCAAGGGCCAACATGACATGGGGAGCAGAGGTGTTGTGTGGTCGTGTGCTGTAATCAGGTGTTTAATTTTGTCCAGTGCTGCTTTGAGTGCAATAACGTAACCGATTCTGGATGCAGACAGAGAAGTCATGTTGTTGGTAATGTCTGTAGCCGTATGATCTGTGTGTAATCTCTGTGTATAATCCCTGCTGGACTCCAGCCTGGGGATACCGGCATGTCTCGCAATGCCTCTGGGCTTAGAGCTGCTTTTATCAGTGCTGCTGTGTAACGCCTCCCTAAATGTATAAACTCACAAATAAAGTCCAAGCTGATGGGGAAGGGGATTTGGTTTACTATTAACTTGTGTGTTACAGTTGTTAAAGAGAAAAAACATGCCTAAGTGGGGGAGGGACTGGTTGTATTCTTCTGTCTGTCCAGCAGGGGGAGCTATGTCTGTTTTTCAATCTCCCCCTGGCAAGCAGGCCCTGCCAGGGGCCTGTAACCCCCAGCAGGGGTAGCTGGTCTCCCAGCTTCTGAGCAGAAACTTGGCCGGAATGTGTGTTTTCCCCGGGTTTGCTCTCGCTTTCTTGGGTTGTGTCCCAGTGAAACTGCAGCCTGATAACCTCTGCCCTCTCTCGGCTCCTTGCGCAAGTTTGCACTCTTAGTCATTTGCTTCCTCCCCCAGCCAATCGGGGTCAGGATCTGTTGGCTGTTTCACATGTGGTGGCAGGATTCCCATGCCGCAGGGTGAGTGACCAACCGCACGCCCTAAGCACTTTCTTTGCTCTTAGCCTAGGGCTCTCCCTCAGCCCCAGGCCTCCCCGTCCCTCCTTTGCCACCTCATCACCGTGTAAGAGTAAAAGCAAAATCTAGTGACTGCAGTTAGGAAGCCCCCTCCTATCTCCCAGTCCTGCTTTTATCCACTATAAACACTTGTGAACAATGAGACCCTCTCCCTGTGGGGATTGTTTTAGGAAGGATCAGAATGGGGCAGTAGCTGCTGAGTTCCTTTGTCTCCTGCATGGCAATGAGCTGCAAGCGAAGTGCTTCCATTCCCCTGCGCAGGGTGTTTCATAATTGTCCGTGTCTGGGTTTCTTGCCTGGCTGCTGTCGGAAGTAGGTCTGCTCTGGTATAGCAATTGCCCCCTTGTGCTGGGAGCAGCGAGGAGTAAGGAGCAGCAGCCCGTGGCCCTTTCTCATGGCGCAGGGAAGGGAGGGATGGGGCAGGGGAGAAACAGGTGCAACAGCCGTCCTGCCGCGTGTGCCTCCATCAGCCTTCGTCCCGCTGCAGAGCTAATCAGGATGCTGTTCTTTCAGCTGCGGGCATGGCAGCCTGGCTGAGCCAATCCCCCACGAACTATAGGTGACTGGTGCCTTTAACCGAAGGGATGGGTTCGTTACGTATCCCCTGACCACTCTCACAGCCCTCACTGGAGCAGGTGCCTGAAGTCCCCATGGCTGCATACAGCAGACTTGGGGGGGGGGGGCTGCAAAAGTTGTGTGGCTCTCATCAAAATACAGCTCCTCTTCAACACCCCCCTCCCTGTAAGATAAAATAGCTAAAGCCAGACCAGTCACAGGGCAGTTTTCCCTTTCCTCTTACACTGTGTGCACGGATACCCCCACTTCTAGTGTAGGCTGCCTGCTCCGTTGACAGACGGGCACTATTTCCAATCCAGCATCTGCTGCTGTCCTGAACTCACTTGTCTTGTCGGGGGTGGTGGTGGGGGGTTCACCTACCTGGGATTCCCTTAAGGGTGCAGTGGGTTGTAATGGAGTGGCAGGCCTGGCCCATTGTTTTGCCGGGAGGCTCAGGGAGCCAGGTGTACGGCAGGCAGGTTTCACTCTGAGCAGACATTTGCATAGGCTTAATGGTTCGTATTCAAATGAAGGTTTGAGAATGAAAGCTGCAACTCATCTTTGAATGCCTGAGGGGAGTGGGGCAGATGGGGGAAAGTTGGGGAGAAGGGGGACCCCTAAATTCTGACCCAATGGGGGGGCAGGATTGTCAGCCTAGAATAAATTCTGAGGGTGCCTCTGGCTGCAGCAATGGGAAGTGCTTGGGGTGGGTCACAGGTTGGCTCTGAGCCGTGGGGAAGCATGACCTCAAACCCCCAAAGCTGATCTCTGCAGGAGAGGGGAGATCCCAGCTCTGTGTGAATGGGGGTGGAAAATCATCCAGCGACAATAGCTGGGGAGTGAGTCACTCTCCACACCCTCTGCTAACTAAACAGAGAGGAGCATTGCAGAGCCTGAGGGCTAGCTGTGTGCCCAGGGCAGGAAGAAGGGCTTGCCACTGGGGACAAGGGCAGAGGTAGTACACACAGCTCAGGCCAAATCGCTGAGAGCTGCCTCCACCCCTCCTGGGCTGTTTCACAATAAAACTAGCAAATGACAGGGAAATAGTGTCTGTTGTTGCAGTGGTTGCCATGGCAACTTCTGCCTAACATGGCTTGAGGTTGCAAGTACTTTGAACCTTCCACAGCTCCTTTCCAAGGGGATCTCTCAGCATTTTACATACGTGTGAGCTCCATTTCACCGAGAGGTGAAAAGACTTGCACAGCTGTTGTAGATCTGGGTATAGAACCGTGGAATCCTGACCTCCTCCCCTGCCTTGCTGTAATCACCACTCTTGTGCCAGAGCCGGGATTAGAATCCAGAGCTCCTGACTCACGGTTCCCTGCTCTAACCACTGGACCATGGGGGGACGTGGGTTGGAGGCACCCAGACCCCCCCCAGTGTGCTCCTACCCGGGGACAATAGCTGACTTTGGTTCTGCGTGGAGCCCCACAGTCCACTCTCTTGCAGAGCCTCCTTTGCTAAGATGCAGGTTCGTTTTCCTCTGGCCCTTTGGAGCGTGGCCTAGAAGCTGCTAGAGCAGGGGACTAGGAGGCTGGATCCCCGTGTGCTATTCACAGCTCTGCCACTGACTCACTGTGTGCCCTTGGAGCTGTCTCAGTTCTGCAGGTGGAAGTTCAGCCATCCATAAAATTGCAATAGCACTTGCCTGCTTTGTGGGGGTGGGGGGCGGTGAGAGTCGGGGAGCGTCTGTGACGCCGCTTTGAAGAGGGAAAGGGTTAGATCACTGATGTTTGGGTTTTAAATCCTAAGCAAAACTCTGGCCAGCCTTTTCCATTGCCGCTTTCCTAGTCACCAACCAGAAATGGAATCTGCTTACGTCTCTTTCTGAAAGAGGAAGGATGACCCAGGGGTTAGGCTGCTATCCTGGGCAGTGGGGCACCTGTGTTCAGTTCCCTGCACTGCTACAGGCTGCCTGGGTGACCTTGGAAAAGTCACTTGGGCTCAGATCCTCAAAGTTATTGAGGCACCTAACTCCCATTGAAATCGCTGGGAATTCACTGCTGACACACCTCTGAGAATCTGGGTCTTAGGCTCCTTGTGTCCCGGTTCCCCAGCTGTAAAAGGAGCCCTGCCTCCCCAGGGTTTGTGACGACAGGTACATTAAAGATGGCAGTGCTCAGATACGGTGGAGACAGCGGCCAGATACCTACCCCGGAGAAGGTTATTTTAAAATGAGAACATTTCAAAGCAGTGTCTTTAAAACAGACGAAAATGTTTCCTACTCCAGTGCCAGGAGTCAGGCAGCTGTGTAAGCCCCAGGGGGCCACCGGCTCAGTGATTGGGCTGAGAAATCCTCCGCTTGGCTGGGGAGATCAGAACTGTGGACAGAGACACAGGAAAGAGCAGGAGGTTCTGCTCGGACAGATCAGAGAGTACCACATGGATGAATGAACTCCCCCAAAATACAGAACCTATCTTAAAGGAACAGTAGCAGACAGCTGCTGCCTGTCTCTGCTTGCAGCTCTGCTCTGCCCCCCTTCATATTCGTATAGCTGTGGTGCTTAATAGCCCCAGTCTTGGATCGGGCCTCTCTTGTGCTAGGTTCTGTACCAACATGTTAAGCTGACAGCTCAGCTGCTTCCTGCTGAGTTATTTCCTATCCCAGCCTTCACCGAGTGCTCTAACCAGGCGTGAGCAAGGTAATCCTCTTTGATAGACGATGAAGTGATGAGACTATTTTTTCCCCCTCCCTTGCAGCTTTTCCGTTGTCAGTTTAGAGCCGCTGTACCTCCTACATAGCTGATTGTAAGCTGGTTTGTCGGGCTGAGGACAGCTAGAGTAGCTGCGGTGAATCTGATGCCCGGGGAAATAGACCAGGATTTTCTGCTCACAGTGACTAATGACAAAGGTGAGTAAATTTCCAGCATTCCCAGCCGCCGCTGATGGGCAGCAAGCTGCCACTTGCAGCTTGAATTTTGCTTTCAAATAGTGTTGCAAGTGCCCAGATGCTGCAGCATGGGCTGCTGTGTAAACAGATCTGCAGAGGCCTCCTGCCTTTCCTTCTCCATCCCCATAGGTCTTAGCCAATAGTTACATCCTTCTTCCTCTCCACCCACCTGTTCAAGGATCCCTGGTTCTCACTGATCGCTTGTCTGGGACAAAGAACACCTTGTGTGTCTGCAGAATTCTTCTTCTGTTTATTTTGGTAACAAGCTATAAGGGTGGAGGCTGCTGGGGAACACAATATGCCTGGGTTATCTAGGGGCTATGTGTTTGTAGAGTGGCTAAATATTGGGGAAGGGGGCTGTCTGAATCAAAGCTGGTAGGATAATATGGCCTTTATAATAACTAGAAGGTCACTACTTTCTTTCAGCTTCAGGCTCAGCCACTCCCTGCTAATAAACAGAAAATCTTTTTGAGCGTCCCTGTGAAACTTTGTGTTGATCACAATGCTCAGACAAGGAGGGGCCCAGCCTGATTCGCCTCGCCCTCCTGTCTGCTGGGGCAGCAGGTTTGACTCCTGGCATCAGGAGATGGGGGGGGGGAGGGAGGGAGTCCATGCTGGGCACCGATAACATGAGAGGAAGCGACAGGGCTGTGTGTGCGTGAGTATGGCTTTGGCTGAAATGGTGTGTCTGAATGCATCCCGCTGAAGCGGTACTGGACCTGGAGAGCTCTGCACGAATGCACCCTCCTCCTAGAGCACTACCCCCGTTTCTCTGGAGCTCCCCCAGTACGTCTGCATGCGCGCTTCACCTCTACGGCCTCCGTAGAGTCCTGAAGATAGCATTCCATAGGCTCAACGGTGGCACCAGTTAGGCCCTGAAGACTCATTACGTACAGCTAGGAGCAGGGAGACACCACCTCCCTTAATTTAGAAACCGTATCACCTACTCCCTTGTGCAGGGGTGGAGAGTTAGGGTCCCTCGATCTTTTCAAGCAGAACAGGTTTCCATCTGGTCCAACCCTGGGGTGTTTTCATAGATCAACCACTGAGCTTCCTTTGTTTTCAGGTTTGTTTATTAACAAAGAACATTTACAAACACTTACAGAAGATGCCTCTTCCGGCTATGAGCCCTAACTACAAGCATGTTTTGTCTCTTAAGGGTGCAAGGTGTTACCTTCCCCCTCTCCCCCCACGCCACCACCTACACTGTGCGTAGGGTGGCCAACTCTCAGTCTCCCCAGCACGGGGAACAGTTCACCTTTTAACTGCCCGCCCCCTGAATTAGCGACTGAACATGAAAAAAGCACCAGCCAGGAAGATCAAGGCCTCTAAAGTATCAGCAGCAAAATGGCTCTTGGAAATTAAAAGGGCCATCAAACTTTTCCTTTTGTAACCCAGTGGAGGGGGGAGAGAATTCTGCGTCATTGCATCAGGCGCTTCTGCCAGAAACCACGTGAATTCAGCAACTGCTCCCGTGCACGAAGTTCAGCAAAACATGCAGATTTTATGAGTGCAAAATGGCTTGATGAGTGAGTTATTAGAATCTCTGCTGCTAAAGTCCACCTGGGCTGCCAGCTATTTGTGGCTGGTAGCCACTCAGAGGCAGATGAATGCAGGGAAAGAAGTTAACAAATAACCTTGAATTTAAGTTACGGGGAACATTAGCATGTCCTTGAGCGTTTTTTTACCTGTGGAGAAGGAAACGTCAAAGCAAGATTATGGTCCAAAAGCTGACTCGAAAGATGGCCCCTTCGTGCTCATAGCAGGAAACTGAGGCATAGCTAGAGGCAGAGGTGGGAATAGAATCCAGGCTTTCTCAGTTCCGGTGCTCCTGTGCTAACCACTAGACCATCTGTCCTCTCTTAGAGAGTCACCCTAGCAGACTCCAGCTGGTTTCTACATCAACCAGTGCCCAACAGTGAGTCAAAGAAAATAAGCTCTCAGGGCTGTAGCCCCGTTCCAAAGCCCCCAGACCCCCCACCCGACTGGCCGCAGTTTCTCCTATCAGTGGAATCTTTAGTTGTCTTACCCCCGTGCCCCCGCTGGCTGGAAGATCAGATCTACTCAAGTGTTGGTCTGTAGTAACTGAAGGCCAAGAAACGTTCTTGCTCCAGCTAAGGTTGGTTCTCCTTTAGCTCAACTGGCTGAGTGCTGCTATCCAGGAAATGAGGATCCTGGGTCCTATTCCCAGTTCTGCCTCCACCAGTTCAGCTGGTGACTGCCTGTGGCCAAGTATTTCTCTTTCCCAGGCCAGGGAATCTCTGTGGTATTAAAAGGTGCAACCCTGTTTCCCAGCCAGCCTTACGTTTACCTTTCCCGTGTCAGTGGGTGCGGACAGAGCTGAGGCTAGTTGCTGTGAAATCCCCCAGGGCAGAGCCAGCTGAAGTTCCTAGCTCTTCTCAGCCATCTTCTAGGTGCAGTGGTAGAATGGTGGATGAGAATCAGCTGGCTCCTCCCATCCCATGGCCACCTGCAGCCGACCGCTACTTCTGAGCCCTTGGGCACTACTGAGAGTGTTTGCAAGGGGCCTCTGAACTGCCCTGTGTTTGACTCCTCCCCACCTCCAAGGCTTCAGAGCGAGACTTGGGTGCCTCCATCTCGTGACGATCACCCAGTGGCATTTATTTTAAATATGATTGGTATTAAATAAAAAGTATCGAGTCCTTTCTCCTTTGTGAGTGCACATCAGAACCGAAAGTCTTTGAAATCTACAGCGGGGCGGTCCCTGCCCCCTCATTACTTCATTTGCGGAGAGAACAGAATTGACATCTAGGCTGGCTCTGAGTCGTGAAGGGTCCATGCGCAATGGCCTCAGGGCGTTGGTTCCACCCTGCAGCGCTTTCCCCCAAATGCCCGCTTTCCCCTGCCTCACTTCTCCTCCTGCTCGCCATCAGTGAAGAGGTTGGGGTTTTCAGCCAGCGTGGATCGCACTTTCTTCTTCTCCTTGAAGCGCCCGGAGTTGGAGACCTTGACATGTTTGCCTTTTGTGTTCTTATCCACGATCTTCTCCAGCCGGACATTGAATTCACTCTCGGCGCCATCATCTCTCCCCACCTCTGTCCGTGTGGCCTCCTGGTGGTTCTCGTTGGCATAGATGTCTGGGCTCTCGTACAGGACCTTGGGGGTGGATTTCTTCTTCCGCAGGAAGGTGAGCTTCCACCAGCTGTAGTTCTCTGCCATGGTGGTTTCTCCTCTCTGGTGGCAGAGGAGCGTGTCTCTAGAGAGAAGGCAGATAGGTTAGCAGACCTTTTCCTAGGGTTTATTGTTTGCCTGGACAATCGGATCAATTTTACACCATGCCCTCCCTTGGAATGTAGATGAGACCCCTAGATCTTCAGCTCCAAAACCGCAGCTATGCTAAGGGAGAGCCCCTTCAGATGGCAGAGTAAAGACCGGTCCCTTTTCTACCCTGTGGGCTGATCATTAGAGGGCAGCATTGATTGTGCACACAAGCCAATATACTACATTATCCATTCTGTGCCATCTGATTTGTCTTCACTTTTGCTTGTCCCCTTTCATGGTCGTGGGTCAGCATGACCATCCCCCTGCTGGCTGAGATTCCCTTCAGAGCCCATTGCCCCCCAGGGAGAGGGCCATTCCCTTTCCCTCCCCCCCACAAAGACCAACGTTGCCAACAACAGAGGAGGAGGAGGAGCAGGAACGGAGCCTGGGTTTGGCAGGTGGCAGGGCTACCTGCTCGGTCACTGAGCATGGGCATTCCCCCTGCGGTTGTTTCTGAAGAAGCTGCTGCAATGGTTGCTGTGAGGGAAACTCAGGGCTCAAAACTTAGCCAAGTCTCAGCAAGGCCTCGGGGGAGACCCAGGTCAAAGGAGCAGCGGCCCCCGCAGCTGTCACTTTGTGGCGCTGGGTTTGCAGCCTCGACTCACTGCAACGTGATGACGCAGCCTGGCGCAGCGAGCCTTCAGCGCACGCAGCGGGAGCTATTCATTTGCAAGATGCTAGGGCACTAGCTTTGGAGGCAGGAGGCCGGGGGGGGGGGTTCCACTCCCGGCTGAGCTGCTGATCTGCGGTGGGACACTGGCCCATGTCACTACCCCTGTCTGTGCCTCTGATCCCTCTCTCTGTTGCTTCTCTGGTCTACTTAAACATCAGAGCAGGGACTCTCTTGCAATGTGTTTGCACAGTGCCTAGCACAATGGAGCCCTGATCTTGCCTGGGGCCTATAGTCACTACGGCACGTCAAAGAGCCGCCTCCAAACCATTTATCTTTGCCCACGTCAGTCCATGTTCTCATTGCTACTTTTCTCCCCCTCTCTCCCCTGGCCAATTCTTTGCTACTCTCAGTTGTTGCATCCTGTCTTAATTTGACAGAAGATGGTGTGGGGCCACGGCCCATCTCTTATCCTGTCTTGCCACGCCTAAGCATGCTCCCAGTAATCGGAAAAACCTGTTGAATAATTCTATTGAACTGGGCCATCTCTGGGTTCTGTAGGCATTTTGTCCATATGAAAGACCCGGTCCTGAAGCCCCAAGGTAAAACTCACTCTGTTTGGAAATTTGGCCAGAGTAACGATGATCCATTTCCTGTTCATCCCTATTTTACAGATGGGGAAACTGAGTCATGGCAAAGTGACATATTCCAAGGGTAGAGCCAGAAATAGAGTCCAGGTCTCCTGATGCCCAGATCGGGTCTAATCAATGCTCCTGCTGCTAGTCCCTACAGTTTCAAGTCCTTGAGTTCCACCCTGCTTTTTTCCTGGACGGCAACAGCCTCCGGCATGATCCTATCTGGGTGTTTGCTGAAGGCGTATCTCACCCTTTGATCACTCCCTCCAGCTGTTTGTATAGAAACATTCAATCGCTCTGTAGCCAGGGTGGCAGCCAGGAGGGGGGAGGGAGATGGTCAGTCCCTCATGGGGTGTCCTGTACACAGGCGCATCAGCCCTGCCTGACCTAGAGAGACAGCAGAGCTCTTGCCGACATTCAGCAATATACTGGAGTGAGTCGGAAAAACCTAACATGGGTGCAGCTGGGCGGCCTCCCTTGGGTCGGTCCGTCCATTTGTGCAGCCACGGAAGGGTAAGAAAAACTGGCCCACTCCGTGGCGAACTGGTCTCCTCCTATCTGTCCATAGCAGGCTGACTGCCAAGGAAGATGTGCAGCACTGGGGTTGTTAGCTGTCGAAAAGGCCTGTTCGATCACCAAGTCCATTCGCCACTGCCCTACAGAACAGCACCCGCTGATAGAGGCAGCTTGGTTTTAGGGGCTGTGGGCCAGAGTCACCCCACGGTAGAGCTGCTGCCATTCTGTTGGCTTTGACGCAGCTCACCTGGATTTGTCTTTACGTAACCGATAGAAACTTGGGCCTAGTCCCCAAAGGGTTAACCCAGGTGGGGTTCTGTTGGAAGCAGTGTGAATGACAGACAGGGCATTAGACAGGGGGTGTTTCGGGCGCCTGGCTCTGCGGGGGCACCTCTCCCATTCCGGTGTGAACGCCGGCCAGCTGGTGGGGTTACGTCACCGTTTGGGAGCGGAGGGCAGGGAGAAGGGCGAGGGGGTGGGGTGCTGAGGATAAACGTCGAACTCGGGGCCCCTGCGTCAGGCTGAGGTTGGAACCCTGGCATAGGTTCAAGGACGCCGCCCCCCCGCACCCCTTGTTAGCATTGTCCCTATCCCAGCCCAGAGCCTGGTCGCTTCCCCCAGGCTCCTTTGCAGATTGCACTTGTTCACACCCTCAGCTCCAAGCTGGAGAGCAAGAGAGGGTGCTCTGTTGCCGTCCCACTCGGGGCGAGAAGCTGCCCCGCGAACATCCCGTACAGAGCTGCTGGACACCCAATCAGCCCTATGTTGAGCTCTTACCACCCACAGTGCTCAGTCTGTCTGTCTGTCTGGGCACCCGTATGCACAGCCGCTCTTGTGCAGACCTGCATGCACCTGCTGAGAATCCAGCGCACACATACGTAGCGTGGCTGTACATCCACCTTCAAACAGACCCATGCGTACGCAGAGATCCCCGGGTAAAGTGCAAACAGTGGCAGGCACAGTCACAGAAGGACACACCCACCACCACCACTAGCCCCTCCCCGCCCTCCCCCAAATAAACGTACAGGGAAAATTCCCATATCAGAAATGAGCCCAGTAGCCAAATCCCAGTCAAAGTCACCCTGGCCCTGAAATCCAGTGGGTCTCTCTGGGGAAGTGGAACCCACGGTCAGGTGCAGTGACCTCCTGTACTGAGAAAAGGAGGACTTGTGGCACCTTAGAGACTAACCAATTTATTTGAGCATAAGCTTTCGTGACCTACAGCTCACTTCATCGGATGCATACCGTGGAAAGTATAGAAGATCTTTTTATACACACAAAACATGAAAAAATGGGTGTTTACCACTACAAAAGGTTTTCTCTCCCCCCCACCCCACTCTCCTGCTGGTAATAGCTTATCTAAAGTGATCACTCTCCTTACAATGACAGGTTTCAGAGTAACAGCCATGTTAGTCTGTATTCGCAAAAAGAAAAGGAGGACTTGTGGCACCTTAGAGACTAACCAATTTATTTGAGCATAAGCTTTCGTGAGAGCTGTAGCTCACGAAAGCTTATGCTCAAATAAATTGGTTAGTCTCTAAGGTGCCACAAGTCCTCCTTTTCTTTTCTCCTTACAATGTGAGGGAGGGGAGAGGACACAGGGAGGTTGCCAGAGGATCTGGCCAGCAATTCCCTGGGCTTCTCTGCTCAACTGTCTTCTTGCCTCCTCCCTGAGCACAGCATACCTGAGACGGGCCTGAGCCCCCACAGGTGCTGTTAGCCATAGGGGCTCCATTTCCCCTCTGCAGCCTTGTGACCGAGTGGCGGAGTTCCTGCAAGCTGGGCGGTCGGTGTTACATCAGCCGGGGGGGGGGAGGAGGGAGATTTCAGCACAGGCAGCCTTCGCAGGTAGCGGGTGACGAGAGGGCACATCCCGTGAGAAGTAGCAATAACCTTGGGCCAGGTCCATCAGATATTTCAGCAAGTTAAACATTCATAGCTCAGGCAGAATAGCAGAGCCCAGGCAGGGGTATATTGGGGGGGCTAGTTCCTCATGCCTGGTGAGGAAGGTTTCCAGTGTCGGAGATCTCTGCCCTCTGGATCCCCCCCGATTACCCCTCCCCCCATATTCACTCTCTCAGTGCCCTGAGTGGCCCATTTGCTCTGCTGATGGCACGAGAGACCTTCTCCATGCAGCGCTTCCTGGGGGCCTGTGAGATGAGACTCCTCTCCTGCTGTTACCTACCCCCTAAACAACCCTCCAGAATTCCCACTGGCCGCTCCAAAACCTACCCAGCCTTACCCCAGATTCTCTACCCCAAGCAGGAGATTCTCTACCTGGTGTTTGCATATGATGGGGGGCAGCCCCAGCACGGGGGAGGGCTGGTATAACCCTTCAGGGGCTTCAAATGGCCAGTATCTCTACACCCCCACCCCCTTAGCATTCGTTTGGCAACCAGCAGGCCAAGGATTAAGCTCATTTTGCATGGAACAAACTCAATGTTTTCCCCTCCATTGGGCTCTTTAGGGCAGGTGCTGCTGTCATTACGTCTGTCCCGGAGAGGCCCCAGAGAGACTTCAGCAGTTCTAGTCAGGGATGAATTGGGCTAGTGGGTTATAGAAATCATAGAATCTCAGGGTTGGAAGGGACTTCAGGAGGTCATCTAGTCCAACCCCCTGCTCAAAGCAGGACCAATCCCCAATTTTTTGCCCCAGATCCCTAAATGGCCCCCTCAAGGATTCAACTCACAACCCTGGGTTTAGCAGGCCAATGCTCAAACCACTGAGCTAGCCCTCCCCGCCCCGTTAGGCACCAGCTGTCTGTTCCACCTGGGAAGGCTGAACCTTTACCAAAAAAGCATCCCGTGAAAGCTGCTGGGTTGATGGCCAGTGATAGCTACCGATCAGGGCTAGCCAGGGGAGTGACAAGGTAACCATGCCCCCAAAATGCCCCCCTTGGCATGTGTCTCCATCTCCAGGGCTAAGAAGAGTTGAGTCTCCCTGGCCCATTGACTCCTTGGCCTCCCTGTTGAGATGGCAACAAATGAATGCCCCTAATGCGCTCCCCTCCCCACCCCCCCGCCGCCCCAATTCCCATGGATCCCAATCACACAGGAGCAGCTTTTGGTCACTGCCAGCCTGGGCTAGAGGTAACAGGTCCCACTTGAGGGGAAAGGCTCCGACTCCCCCACGAGCCGTCCAGATCCTCCCTGGATCATGGTCAAGCCTGCCACCTCCTGAAGCTGGCTTCAGGCCCGATCCTGCCAGGGGCTGAGCGCCCTCAACTTCCCCAGAGCTCAAGGTGCTCGGCACCAGGTTGGCCGGTCCTCGGCAGTACTAATCAATGAAACATTCATGGAGGCACTGAGGCACGACGTCGGGGCTCAGGTTTCCCTCTCCTGCCCCCCATTCCCCCAAACACCCTGGCCAACGTACCTGCTTCGATTCAGCCCCTTGCTGGTTGCGTTCTGCTCCCCAAAGGGAGCACTCAGTGGCAGGAGAGAGGGAACCGGGGGCTGGGATAGCTCCAGGGCGCTATTGCGGACTGAGGGGCTGCACTGCGCCCGGAGAGGGTGGGGACCGCGACTGTCACATCTCAGGTGCATGTGGAGGCAGGTGCAGGGGAGCTGCTGTTTTACCTGTTGCTCCCTTTTGCTCTGTGTCAAGGTTAACCCGAGATCCAGCCACTCCTGCCTAAGTAAATAGTAACAGAGGCTGGGCCAGGGGAGTGCTGAATATTCATGACAGGGGAAACCTGATCTGGGCAGCTGCTGCCACTGACTTTCTACAACAGCTCAGGTTACGCTCACCTGGGGCATGGGGAAAGGAAGGGGCAGGGGCTTCTCCAGCGTGGGGTTGCTAGGGGGAGGGTCTCTAGGTGGCCTGACACCCTGATGCTTGGGCAGCAAAGGGTTAAAGCGGCTGGTGCCGTTTGCCTAGCAGGATATTGTATGTTCGCTATTCTTGCCTTCTAGGGATTAGTCGAAACTAGACTCTGGCTAAACTGGTTGCCAGACCGGTTCCTCTTTCTGTGCATCTCTGCCTCGGTCCTTCCTCCATCTCTGCTTTCCTCTGCAGCCTGCCCCCTTCTCGGCACCCGCCCGCGCCAGGCCCAAGGCTTGAGCCTCGTCGGTCTCCTGTTTCCCACCTTGCCCTGCTGCCGTCTCAGCAGGGACAACATCAGAGTAATGGCCGAGAGGAGGAGTATGGAATCCAGGGACCCTATAAGATCCTACTGTCACGGTCCCAGAGGCAGCAGTGCCCCATTGCAATCTGTTGCGTTATGGGTTAGGACGAGGCTAACACGTGAAGCTCCAGCAAGCAGAAATTGTATCTATCTGAAGGGCCATATGCTGCCCCTGCTGCCCCATACTTCCCTTGTCTGCAGTGGGGTTGCCCTGCTGTAGCTGATGGCAGAACGTGGTCTTTAAACCCTGCTGATCTGACCCATTCCCCTTCACCCAAAGCTCAGCTTCCGCTTTTTGTATAAACAGTCCTTCCGGGCAGCTCCAGGGAAGGAGTGAAATTGGGTCCAAAGCTGCCATGAATATCACCCCTTTCCCCTCCCGGTGGATGGAACCAGCTCTTGGATCAGCTCTGGAGGGCATGAGGCCTGGTTAGTTTACTTCCGAGATAAGCAGCCCCGCCTAGCTCCTGGCAAGATTTCAAGACCACGGAGCTGAGTGCTCATTCATTCTTAGCTGCTTGGTACTAGCTATAATTTTAACAATACTAATGCTTAGCAATATCCAGCCATAGATCTCAAAGCACTCTCCAAAGGTGGGCCAAGATCCCGTATCCCCATTTTACAGATGGGGGAAACTGAGGCACAGGGAGGGAAGCGAGTGACACACAGTGAGTCAGTAGCGGAACCAGGAAGGAATGCCAGACCTGACTCCCAAGTCAGCTTCCCCTTCCATTCACAGACCTGGTGACATAGGAACTGCTGCTGCAGCTCTGATCAGTGGTGTATCCAGGCTGATCTTCCCTGCTGGCCAGTGCTCTGAGGGTGCAGCCCCAGCTGTGCTATGCTATCCCAGGGAGAGAAGCGTCTTCTTGACCCCTGTCTGGCAATCACCTGTAATTGAAGAGCTAGTGGCTCTGCTTATTTTTATCCTAGCTGGTTTCTCTGTAGACATGATTATTATCCGTCTGCACGTCTGATGCTCTTTTGACGCACGCTCCACCGTTTGACTCATTAACATCCCGTCTATCTACCCATCCATCTGTCCTGCGGCAGCCAGTTCAATAGGTTAACTGTGTGTTGCATAAAATAGCGTTTCTGTTGGGCCATTTTATAGGTCAGCCGTTCTGTTTGCTCACTCTACAGCTCCTGAAGGCTACTGCTCAGGTTATGCATACAAGAGGCAGGGCAGGGCAGGGGTTAGAGCAGCAAAGGGGGAGTCAGGACTCCTGGGTTCTCTGCCACTGACTTGCTGAGGTGACTTGGCACGTCATTTCACCTCTGTGGACTAAATCTGGGACCTGCGTGTAAATCTAAGGAAAATGGCCTTTCCCATAGCGCTTGGCACAACCTTCAGCCCCTGATCGTCTAGCTAGAAGGAGTTTGTGCCTAGCTATGCCTGCACTGAGAAGGCCCAGGGATGATAGTGCTTTGCCTGTCTCTGGTGCTACCCATATCAGGATCTTAAAGCCATGAATGAATTAGGCCTCGCTACTCCCCAGGAGATAAGGACTTATCATTCTCCCGGTTTTGCAGAAGGGGAAACTGAGGCATAGAGAGGGGAAGTGGGCTGCCTGCGATCACGCAGCGAATCAATGGGAGAAGCGTGACAGGAATCCAGGAGTCCTGAGTACCTGCTCTAGCTACTAGATGGCGCTGTGTCCCAAGTTATATACAGGATGAAAGGGCAAGTTCCCAGAGGGTTATACTCCTCTGCTGTGTACATTGGCCAAACCGGACAGTCTCTATGCACGAGAATAAATGGACACAAATCTGACATCAGGAATCATAACATTCAAAAACCCGTAGGAGAACACTTCAGTCTCTCTGGTCACTCAACAACAGACCTCAAAGTGGCAATTCTTCAACAACAAAACTTCAAAACCAGACTCCAACGTGAAGCTGCAGAACTGGAATTAATTTGCGAACTAGATACCATCAGGTTCGGCCTGAATAAAGACTGGGAGTGACTGGGTCATTACAAAACCTAAACTTAATTTCCCCCATACTAATTTCTCCCTACTGTTGCTCACACCTTCTTGTCAACTGTCTGTAATGGGCCACTCTCTTACCACTTCAGAAGTTATTTCTCCTCCCTTGGTATCCTGCTGTTAATTGATTTATCTCGTTAGACTGATGTAACACTTGGTAAAGCAACCCACATCCTTTCATGTATTTATACCTGCTCCTGTACCTTTTACTTCATACATCTGATGGAGTGGGTTCTAGCCACTTATTTCTAGGGTTATACTGATTCTCTGATGACCTTTGGGGCAGGGGTGGACAAGGAAGACAGAGTCCTACGGCTGGGACTCTGGAACAAATGGGGCTGGAAACAGAGCAAGCCAGGAAACATTCACATGCAGGGAATAAGCAAAGGAACCAAGATGGTGGAGCCAGTCCAACCAGGGTGCGGGGGGGCGGGTGTGGCCTTCGGGTTGGCCAGCCAGACCACACTCCTCTTCGAAGCAGCTGACGTCACGGGGGGTGGGTTTGCTGGGACTCCCTGGTTCGTGGGGAGGCTGATCTGTTCCAGGTAAATCTTTGCTGGGATCCTTTGTGTTTCCAGGCAGCAAGTGGAATTCAGACAAGGAATCTGAGGCGATTCCTTAGCCAGAGGCAATGGATGCTGCTCCTTCTGCCTGGGGCTGCAGAGGAGGGTGATACTGAGTGGGGGTGTGGGGCAGGGGGGTGCTGAACAAACAACCCGAACAGAAAGAAAGAGCAGTGTGTGTTCGGGAAGCAACAGAAAGCGCATTGACTCCATGCCAGTGGCTGGCCTGCCTGGGAAAACACAGCTCTGGGCTGCAGTTTACTTTCGCCCCAAGGGGAACTTTTCACTGCTCTGTTGCCAGCATCGGTGCGGCTCTGAGCTCCTTGCCAAGCTCCATGACTTGGGGGTGGACGCAGGCAGCCCTACCTGCATTCTCCACCCGTACTCCAGACCGGAGCTGGGGCTGGAAGCCGGGCTTTGCTTGACAGAGGCATTGGTGGGACTATGGAACCTACTGTCCATCAGATCTCCCCCCTCTCTATGGAGGTCTCTTTTCCAGTGGGAGACGCCGCAGTCAGAGTCTGTGGGGTCTCCCCCACGAGTGGGAGTGGGAGTCTTCAGGGTGCCCTCTACCACCTCTTGGAGGACTGCCCGGTTTCAACCCCATCTCCAGGGAGCAGGGTCCGGTGGAAAATACCTGTGTCGGGGCCCTTCAGAGGAGCCACCATCCCTAGCTGCCCTTCCCGTTAGCCCTCTCCATGCTGCTGGTGTCCAGCTGTCCCAGACACTGTCACACCTCCCTCTCTTGACAGGTGAAAGACCTCAGCCACCTGGTGGCTGAACACATGGTGCTGGGCAGATCGAAGGAGGGGGCTGCCTGGCCCCATTCATCACAGAGACAGATCCAATCGCAGTGGGGCAATCATCGTCACTTCGGCATGATGTGTGGCAGTGACCAAGGGGTCAGCCCCAGCCCCAGGCTACAAACAGAGTCAGTGGAAACAACTGCTTGATGGATGCAAGCCTTATCTAGGATCCAGGGGTTGTTTGTGTGTGTGTGCCTAGGTGAGGGGACGCCTGGCTGTGCACGCCTGGCTGTGCACGCATGAGGGGCCTATATGCATATATAGCTCTATATGGTGTGTATCTGGCATGTATAGCTCAGAGTGTGTGTGTGCTCTCCGTGTCTCCATGTGCAGGCATAGCCCAGCGGGCAGGGTGACTTGTTTGCCTTCTTTCTGTTCAGTTTCCCACATGCAATCTCCTGCAGCTGCCTTGTTTGACGGCTGAACCCTCGTTATTGCTAAAATCCAATCCAATCGAGCCACTCAGCAAGTAGCGACGTGGGCTGGAGCTACGCCGTGCTAGCCAGTCTCGCGCTGCTGTCAGGAAACCTGCAGGGATGACAGATGGCAAGTTGCTCCCGAGCCATCAGCCAGAAGCACAAAGCCTCTGTCATTCAGACACCCCAATGCTACCCCGGCTGACATTTTGGGGAGCCTTTCCATGGTTCCGATTCCAGCTCTGGGGGTTCTGGGACCTTGGCCCCATTTTTTTCCTTTTTAAAGTCACCCCAACTCTGGAGTGGTTCTTCGGCTTCTTTCCCAGCTGGAGTGGTTGCCTCTGGCTTCCCGAGATCCTGTTTGCATGCAAATGAATGAATATTAATTTGATTCTAAATAATGACTAGTAACAACAATATATATTCCCTTCCCTCTGAGGATCTTATTGTGTTTCACAACCGTTCATGAATTCTGCCTCAGGACCTGGCCAGGCCCAGATGAAGACAGTAGGCACTCTAGGTCTGTGCATAAGGGTTGCGGTTTCCTGAGTCAGGTGACTACATCAGAAACGCAGCTTTCATTTTCAAAAGGAAGTAGGTCTCAACCTCTCGTGGCTGCAAGGGAAAGCTTGAAAATGTGAAGCAAATGGTGTCTGCCTGAGTCTGCAGAGAGCCTGGTGCAGCAGCTCTGAGAGCTGTGAACTGCCCCATTCATCGCGAAGGGGGGCTAATGTCAAGATCTGTTGTTCTGGGGGAAACCTGCCCACCTCACGAGGAATTTGCATGTGGCAAGAGTAGACGAGTGCAGTGGGCACAGCCCTGGGCGGTAAGTATCGTAGGCTGGGGGAGGCTGGGCCTCCCCAAACAGCCAGGTGTGGCACCGCCCATGCTCCACTCCAGGCCACTACCCCTTTGCTTTCCCCCCGCCGCAGCTCCAATAGTCTTCATGGCCCCAACTTGGGTCTCACCTGCGCCGCCCACCTTCCCAGTGCTCTGGGGCTGGGGGCACTAGCCTGGGGCGGGGGCCAGCAGCTGCGCTGGGAGGACCTCTGGGCTCTGACCGGGTGTGTGTGTGTGTGTGTGAAAGGGGCGGGGCTGGGAGCTAGCCTCTCCCAGCTGGCGGTTCACACGCCGCCCATGTGCCCAGCACACCTATTCTTGATTCATGCCATTGCCTCCTTGCTGAGACTGCCAACATAGGGGCCAATCGGTGTCACGTGTAATAGGTGTGGAGGGACCTCTGGGCTGAGGCTCATCAAACTCATTTCACATAGATCAGATAACTTTAGGCTGGCTTTGAATCACTGACAAAGGTGAAAGGCTCTTTATCCTGTCACCAATCCCCGAGCTAGTCAGTTGCTCCCAATACAGACATTCCAGGGTTAGAACTTCATTGGCAGATCCAAACCCTCTGAACCTTCACCCCACATCCTGCCTCATTCCCTAAGTGCTTCGTACAGAAACAACTTTTCCCTCCACCTGCCTCCATGAAGGTCATTACTCAGTGGCCAGCAGAAGCTCTTTAAGAAAACCAGCATCTACATAAATCCAGTTCCCAGTGCCCTCGCTCGACACTGGGCACAAAACATGGCTTCACATTGCTCTCACGTTGGCCACAAACTCATGCCTAGCGGTTTCAATACTCAGGATTCCTCCCAGAAAGCGGCCCAGGATGTCTGGGATTTAAGGTGGCTTTAAAGGCAGCCTTAAAAAAAAAAATACAAGGAAACAATCTCTCCCCACGTTAACCCGGTGTATTTGCATGTATTGGACTGGAAAGAGGAAAAAAGATCAAAAACAGTATTTTTCAGGCCCTGCAAAAGGACAACAAGCAGCTGGCAACCTGCCCTATACCAGCTATTATATCATGTGTGCCAAGGTTACACAATGTGACCAACTCTTGGGGGAGGCTAGCGGAAGCAAAACAAAATCAAGAAGGTGGCTGACTCCCTGTTTACTGAGGACACCCACAAAAGTGCTGCTCAGAAGACGGGGGTGGGGGTTCTGCAGAAAATTTTCATTTTGTGATCATTGGGACTACACATTTACCCTAATCATGAGATCAATTGTAAAAAGTACATGAAAGTTCATAAGATGTTACAATAGCCTATAATAACAATTGTTGATGGAAAGTAGGTCAAGCTGTTTTTCAATAATAACTGTAATGAACAGATGCAAGAGAACCTGACAGACTACATTAGTGCAAACAAAAAAGGCCACATTGATATGATTCAAGGATTATTTTGCAATCATGCTTGGTGAAGATAGAAGTGGAACCAGAAATTAATGAATGAAAATGGATGTGTCAGATATTGGGCCTAATTGGTGGACAAAATAAGGGGTGGGCTAGTCCACCCATCACTCCTTTTTTTGGTCCTTAAAGAAAAAGACTTTGGGGAGAAAAGACAGAAGAACAGATGGAGGCCACTGGAGCAAGTTTCACCAGCATGGCTGCCACCCACAGTTTCCAAAGTCCCTGGGTCTTCATCCTCCTAATCTTAGAGAGATGTCCTCACCAGACCAGGTCAGAGAGAGGGAGCTAGATAGCATCACACATCTGCCTCCTCCAGCTAAATCCAAAATGCCACCTGGGATGAAATGGGATCGGACTGTAATAACAGCCACCGCAGCCCTTGTTAAGGTCTTTGCTTTTCTGCGAAAGGACAAAAAGAAAAGGAGTACTTGTGGCACCTTAGAGACTAACCAATTTATTTGAGCATGAGCTTTCGTGAGCTGCAGCTCACTTCATTGGATGCATATCGTGGAAACTGCAGCAGACTTTATATACACACAGAGAATATGAAACAATACCATGTTTTGAGACTCGGTGGGTGAGGTCATTATCTTTTACTGGACCAACGTCTGATGGTGAGAAAGACAGATTTTCGAGCTCTTCTTCAGGAAGCTCGTCTCTCTCACCAACAGACGTTGGTCCAGGAAAAGATATTCCCTCACCCGGCCTTGTCTCGCTACTGTCGTGGGACCGACCCTGCATACATCTTTGATGCTGTCAGACAAGGGGGCTTTTCCTTCGAAAGCCTCTCTGCAGCTCAAGGGACGTGCTAGAACGAAAGCCTCACTCGGTCCTTTACGTTTCAAAGGCTTCCGCTGTTTTCCCGTCTTTTCTGCCTCTTTAAGGAAAGGCTGGGAGGGTTTTCAGGGCTGTCTTTGCTGTGACACTAGGCAGGCTGAGGTCTCTACCCCGGACCTTGTTTAATGCTGTTGGACAGTGAGTGGGCGATGTGAACACCTTTGGCCCATGTATTCCAGCTAACTTAACCGACTGCTGCACCCTGCACCCACTGCAGGGAGCTGAGGTCCCAGGGTGCCCCGGTGCTGCTGCCAGGCCAGCTGGGGGCTAGGGCAGCGCACGTGGGGGTAACCTAACCCTGACTGCGCGTGCGTCGTAGAGCACATTTTTCGCCCCCCCCCGTTCGCGCCTGAGATTACAGCTCTTTGGGGCCACCTGCCGGGCAGTTGTCGCCACTGTCCCCCTCCCAGCCACGTTCTAATTGGTCAAAGCGCCCCCCTCGCTCCAGCCAATCGGAGCGCGGGCACGTTGCACTTTGCTTCCCTTGGATTGGGCGCGGTAAGCCCGTGCGCGCGTACGTCCTGATTGGCGGCGCCGTCCCGGGGCGCTGCCCGGTGATTGGCTGGGGGGGAGGGGGCGGAGTTTCCAAATTTCGGCCGGGGACAGGGTCGAGCGGAAAGGAGCGAGGCTGGAGGGGCATGCAGGTGGGAGCGGCCCCCCCCGGAGAGTACTGCGGTTCCCCCCCCCGGAGAGTGTCCTCTCCCCCCCCCCGCCAGAGCGGCCCCCCCCCGGAGAGTGTCCTCTCCCCCCCCCCCCGCCAGAGCGGCCCCCCCCCGGAGAGTGTCCTCTCCCCCCCCCCCGCCAGAGCGCCCCCCCCCCGGAGAGTGTCCCTCCCCCCCCCCCCCGCCAGAGCGGCCCCCCCCCCGGAGAGTGTCCTCTCCCCCCCCCCCGCCAGAGCGGCCCCCCCCCGGAGAGTGTCCTCTCCCCCCCCCCGCCAGAGCGGCCCCCCCCCCGGAGAGTGTCCTCTCCCCCCCCCGCCAGAGCGGCCCCCCCCCGGAGAGTGTCCGTCTCCCCCCGCGCCAGAGCGGCCCCCCCCCCGGAGAGTGTCCGTCTCCCCCCGCGCCAGAGCGGCCCCCCCCCGGAGAGTGTCCGTCTCCCCCCGCGCCAGAGCGGCCCCCCCCCCCCCGGAAAGTGTTCTCCCCTCCCCGAGCAACCCCTCCCGAAGAGTGTCTGTCTCCCCCCCCGCCAGAGCGCTCCCCCCTGCCAGAGCGGCCCCCCCCAGGAGAGTGTCCTCTCCCCCCCACACCAGAGCAGCCCCCTCAGGAGAGTGTCCTCCCTGCCTCGCCAGAGCAGCCTCCCCCTGCCAGAGCAACCCCCCCGAAAAGTGTCTCTCCCCCCCCCCTGCCAGAGCAGCGCCCCCCCCTTCCCTGGGGGTGCTGGTTGTCTTGGATTTGCGCCGTATACGTTTCTCTGAGTCCTGGCTTCTCAAGCTGGGGGTGTTGAGCAGGTGTCAGAGCTGCTCCCCTTCCCATGATACGCTGGAGGGGAGTCTCAGCTAGACTGGAGGGGCTTCCACTGTGGAACAGGTCGATGGAGGAGTGAAGGGCCCCACGGTGGGAAAGCTTGAGAACCGCTGCTCTGATCTGTATGCCTGGGTGTTCACATGGCCCTCATCCCCCTGGTATCTAAGGCCCAGATCCCCAGTGATATTTAGGTACCTACGGGAGTTAGATGCCTAGATACCTAGGAGGCACTTAGGCCCAAGTCCTTCAAAGAAACAATTGAGAAATAACTTCTCTCTGTTTTACTCCTGGAAGAGTCAAACCCAAACACACTAAATTCTCTTAATCAGGCAGGTTACACTGATTCCGTGTGTGTTGTAGGAGAGCTAAATCTTTGCATTTAGTTCTAAGTACCGTGGGACCCCTAGTCCTTTGGATCTCTTGTGGCAGGGAGTTCCTCAGTCTAGGCCTGACTGCTGTCTGAGTTCCATCTCCTGCACTCCCTGTACTAGGTCGGCTGTTTTCAGAGTTCTGGTGGAAATCTCACCCTCCCGCTGACTTTGGTCTCCAAACAAAAACAGTTGCAAACGTTTGGTGCGGTCGTGACAATGCATTTGTCATATGCTGGCTGAGCGTAACCTCACCCGTTGTCCCCAGACATCTTTTGTCTGTCCAGGAAAGTAGAGCATCCAAGTCTGGATCAGCACCGCAAGAGACTAGACCTTTGCCCTCTGTTAGGACATGGAACCTCAGGGCTGGGGAGCATCGTTTGCTAGGAGCTGGGGTTGCAGGAGAGTGTCAGAGATGGGCTCGGAGCAGGAAATGCTGGAAGATGGCAGATGCTAGGGGTGTGGGTGGGAAGGTGTGTTGGATGGGGAGGATTACAGGCCGTGCACTGGCTTTGTTTCCTGCATTATCAGGCTTTGTTCATCCAGAAGATTCTCCCTGTTTATTGCAATGTATGTCTCTCTTCGCCAGGACTGTCAGAATTTGCCGATTGACATCCAGACAAGCAAGCTGCTAGGTAAGATACTCGCTCCTGTCTCTGGCTGGAGAGGGAGGGCATTGTGGTGCATGTTTTTATGCACCGAGAGAGGGGCACATGGTGGAGAGGGTGAGGGGTTAGGTCGGCCAGAGAACTGGCTGTCAGCACGCGCAGAAGTTTCCTTCCACCGTGAGCTCATGTCCTTCTGATTTCAACAGGACTCAGGAATGAGGAGAATTTGTCTTCATTTCTCCCATTGGGATGAAACCCCAGAGGAAGCGGAGCAGAGTTGCCCCTGTCAGCACAGGCCTTGTATAGATTAGTGGGGTCAGCGTATGGGTGGGGTGCTGGCTTGCCAGTCCTGGCGACTGGAGTCCTCCCTTAATCCCCCGAACGGGCCGGGTGCGGATCCCCAAGCACACTGACGTGCCTCCTCCTTGCTCAGGGAAGTAAGAGAGAAGTTAGTTCATTCTTTATCTCTCTCTGCTGAGACAGGCAGCAAGGAGTGGGGGGGGGGAGCTTGTGTTGAAGCCCCCCCCCCCCCCCCCCCCCCGGAGACCCTCCAGCTCAGAGAGGCTACTGAACAGCTGCCAGAGGGTGACGATGGCTTCTAGTCACTACCCATTTTGACCGCGTTTGCAGCAGCTGCATAGAGGTGAGGGACTCCTGTCCCTGAGCCAATGACCGGAAACGCCCCCCCAGCAGTGCCCTCCCTCTGCTGTCTCCCGGCTGCCCCTCGCTCCCGCTGGCAGACACCGAGGTGTTTAACGTCCGTGTGTCCCCGCTGCAGACTGGCTGGTGGACAGGAGACACTGCAACCTGAAATGGCAGAGCCGCGTGCTGACTATCCGGGAGAAGATCAACGTGGCCATTCAGGACATGCCGGAGAGCGAGGAGATCAAGCAGCTGCTCTCGGGATCCTGTGAGTGGAGCTGGGTGGGGGGAGGATCTCCCTGACGCAGGCTTGGGTGCCAGCATCTGAAGCAGGGGTGGCGGGACCCATTAATGCAGGGGATTTGCCATGAAGGCTGTTGACGTCCGTGGGGCCTGGTCAGTTGCTTGGCATTCTGTGGCCCCAGTAGCAGTTCGCTGCTGCGATCGAGGGTCGTGAGCGTGTCCATCCTGGGGCTGAGGTGCTTGTGTGTCTCCCTCCCTGCCCCCAGTCACCTCTCGCATGCACTAGGCCCATTGCAGATGCCAGAGGAATCCAGCCCCAAGGGCTTCGGGTATTACAAACGTCCCTGTTTAGAAAGGAGACAGAAGCCCAGTGACATGTGCCCCCTTGCCCTGTTGCTGCCCCAGTGTACAGTGCCAAGGGCTGGAGCTGTGCTCAGCAAACCTGGGCTCCTCACCCTGTCACCCGGGGCTGAGGGGGGGAAGGGCATCGCATCCCGTCTGCTGCCATCTCCGCTCTCTCTGTCTCATTCCAGATATTCACTATTTTCACTGCCTGAGGATTGTGGAAATTCTTAAAGGGACCGAGGCCTCCACTAAAAACATCTTTGGTCGCTACTCTTCCCAGCGTATGAAGGTGAGCAGCCCGTGGAGTCGGACTTGTCCAAGAATTTGCCAAGTTGGTTCCACTTTCAAGCAAGTCGGGCTGGGCTGGGCTGTTAGCGGGATGCATGGAGCCAATGTCTCTAGGGTGCTGATTTGAATCCAGCCTGAGTCAACAGCAATTAGAAGCTGTTGCTCTCTGGGGCCTGTACAGCGGCCCCTATGTGAAACAAGTAACAATAATCGCTAGCTCTTATCTAGTGCTTTCCATCAGTGTCATCATCTCCATTGTACAGATGGGGAAACTGAGGCACAGAGCAGGGAAGTGATTTGCCCCAGGTCACTCAGCAGGCCTGTGGCAGAGCCAGGATTAGAACCCAGGTCTCTTGAGGCTCAGTCAGGTGCTGTATCCACTAATCAACCCAGATGGGTGGATGCTGTCAGTTCAGTGCCTGTGTTAGAGGGTACCTGGCGCACAGCCCACCATCTTAGCTGAGAGGCCCTGCACCACTGAGCCACGGGTCTGCGGGAAGCTTGTGCTGCCATTGCCTGATTGGCTCTGGGCACCTTTCCCAAGCACTGAACTCCCCCTTCGCCGCCAAGTGTGGCCGCGTGCCCTGCCCCTGCTTGTTCTTTGGCTCTCACGCTGCATGGGCTGGTGCTCAGGGGCTTTGTGCTTCTCCAGCTGCATTTGGCATCATCTCAGCCTCTCCCTTCTTCTGCTCTCTGTTGCAGGACTGGCAGGAGATCCTGTCTCTGTATGAAAAGGAAAACACCTACCTAGGTAAGGCAGCCTCACCTCACCGCAGTGGGACATGCAGGTGTTTAGCAGGGGGCAGCCGCCTGCTTTCTTCCTGCCGGAGCTCTGGGTGTGACTTGCTGGGGATGGCATCTGCCTGGCGTGAGCTCACCTGTACTCCCAGCTCTCACGTGCTGAGCCAGGTCCCTGCGTCCTGTCCCATCCCCACTGCCTTTTGCAGCCCGTATAAAGGAGTCATTCACCCAGAGCCGCGTGAGGGTGGGGAGCACAGAAGCCGTTCTGCACCGGCGGCAGTAACCATCTCAGCAGTGTCAGAACTAAGGCACGTAGGCAGGGGTGGCGGGGACGTGGCTGCGGTGGCTTGAGCACTGTGCCCGTTCTGGCATAGAAGCCTTCGCTCTCCCGGCCCACAGCTCAGCACTGGAATTGCATGTCCTTAAAGTGAGTGGTGGGGCTGGGGCGAGTGGGGCAGCGCTAGGAGAGAGAATCCTCCTGCGGCCTCGGCTTAGGGGCTGTTCGGCCCCGTAACCTGGGCGCCTGCCAGCGCTTGGCCTGGCTTTCCAGGTAGGAAAGGTCGGTGCCCCACGCGTCTCCTCTCCTGTCTGTCCCTTCCCCCCACCACTCCCCCCCCACAGTGGAGCTCGCCAGCCTGCTCCTGCGCAACGTCAGCTACGAGATCCCGTCCCTGAAGAAGCAGATCAGCAAGTGCCAGCAGCTGCAGCAGGAGTGCAGCCGCAAGGAGGAGGAGTGCCAGCTGGGGGCCGCCGAGATGCGGGAGCGCTTCTACGCCTCCTGCAAGCAGTACGGCATCACTGTGAGTCCCTCGCTGGGCCCCGGAGGGGCCGGGCCTGCTCAGAGAGCCTGGACGCTGCCTTAGCCCCACACAGCGCTCACCGTATGCCCCCCTGTGCCCGGGAGGGGCCGGGCCTGCTCAAAGAGCCTGGACGCTGCCTTAGCCCCGCACAGCACCCACCGTGTGCCCCCCTGTGCCCGGGAGGGGCCGGGCCTGCTCAGAGAGCCTGGACGCTGCCTTAGCCCCGCACAGCACCCACCGTGTGTCCCCCCTGTGCCTGGGAGGGGCCGGGCCTGCTCAGAGAGCCTGGACGCTGCCTTAGCCCCGCACAGCACCCACCGTGTGCCCCCCTGTGCCCGGGAGGGGCCGGGCCTGCTCAGAGAGCCTGGACGCTGCCTTAGCCCCGCACAGCACCCACCGTGTGCCCCCCTGTGCCCGGGAGGGGCCGGGCCTGCTCAGAGAGCCTGGACGCTGCCTTAGCCCCGCACAGCACCCACCGTGTGCCCCCCTGTGCCCGGGAGGGGCCGGGCCTGCTCAGAGAGCGTGGGCAATGCCTTAGCCCCGCACAGCACCCACCGTGTGCCCTCCCTGTGCCCGGGAGGGGCCGGGCCTGCTCAGAGAGCCTGGACCCTGCCTTAGCCCCGCACAGCGCTCGCCATGTGCCCCCCTGTGCCCGGGAGGGGCCGGGCCTGCTCAGAGAGCCTGGACCCTGCCTTAGCCCCGCACAGCGCTCGCCATGTGCCCCCCTGTGCCCAGGAGGGGCCGGGCCTGCTCAGAGAGCCTGGACGCTGCCTTAGCCCTGCACAGCGCTCGCCATGTGCCCCCCTGTGCCCGGGGTGGGCTGGGCCTCTCCTTTCTGAGAGGGTCCCAGCTCCTGCCACCTCTCCCCATCGCTTAGATCCCTGGGCCTTCAGTGCCGTCTCCAGTGACCCACCCCCATGGTATTGGACCGCTCTCAGCACTGCACAGCCATTCCCACCGGTGCCCTGAACAGCCCTGCCCCTGGCTCTTCCTCACCTGCCTGTTACCAATGGCTCGTCTCAGGAACCTCCCCGTTTCCAAACCTCGGGGCCTCGCCAGGACCCTGGGCATGCCTTCCCCGCACCCCTGGCAGGCTGTCTGAGCAGCCGAGGGCCAGATGTGCCTGTCCGAGGGGGACACCTGCATTGGAAAGTGCCTCTTCCACCCCCGCACCCAGTATTGAGCTGGCTCCTTGCGCCCAGGCTGCTAGTGCCAGGTTTGTGCCCGTGGGACTGCTCGTTCTACCACTGCTCACCCCTGCAGATCCACTGGGCTCCGGTTCCTCTGCTTCTCGTCAGCTGCCCCACCTGCCGCTTCAGCACCACGTGCTGACAGGACAATCGGATCCACTCGCTCCTGCCTGTTCTGCGCTCCAGCAGCTGAGCATCTTCCCCGGGGGCTGTCCCCTGGCAACCCCACCCCAGCTCCCCCTGGCTCTGTTGGTGGTCTCCTGGCCTTAAGCCAGCTTGCGTTCCAGCATTCTCTAGGGCTCCTTCCTCCACCCATTGCCCTTTGCTGGGATCAAATGCTCCATCCTGGCAGCCCAAGCTAGCCCTGTGGTTTGGCTGGTGACCTGAGTACCCGGGTCCCTGCTCTAATGCATCCCCGCTTGTTCTCACTGGGCAGGGTGATAACGTGCGGCGGGAGCTGCTGGCCTTGGTGAAGGACCTGCCGGCGCTGCTGACTGAGATCGGGGCCGGGGCCCGGGTGCTCTCGGAAGCCATCGATTCATACCAGGCCTGTGTGCAGTTCGTGTGTGAGAGGTAACCAAACACCGGCACTGGGAACGCCAAGCAGAGCGAGGGGGGAGGCAGACTGGTCCCTCTCCTCTCCCCCAACTCGAGCAGGTGTTGATCCTCTGTGCTGAGACTCCCTGTGCTCCGGAACTCGAATCCAGAGGTGTTAACGCTGCTGGGCTGGGTCGCCCCCCGGTCCGGGCATGTTAAGGAGCAGGCAGGCCAGATGTGCAGAGCCTCTGAGTTGGAGGGGGATTCTGGAGCTTCCTTCTGCTCCAGGGTGTCTCTTTCCTCCCTCCCCGATCCTGCCGGTACGTGGTTTCTGGAGGTCTAACCCTCCCCCCCCGCGCCCCGGCTCCGGTTTCACACCCACCTTTGCTGCTCAGTTTCCCAGCTGAGATCTGCCCTTGGAATTTGCTGATTGTGGAAGCCCTGGGCTTTTCCTGGCTGTTTTGGGCCCGTCTTTAAATACCCCCGTTCCGGACAGAGCACTGCTGGGCTCAGTCCCAGACCCTCTCAGCAGGAGTGAGCTGCCTGGTTTGCTGGCTCCTTGGTCTCTCTCCAAGCTTCCCCATCCCTCCTTGGCTGGGAGGATCAGAGACCGCAATAAGCCTGCTTTAAATCCAAATAAGGTTGCTGTGACTGCAAGGAGAAAGGTGGCTGTAAATTGCCATCCCTGGGCTCTATGTTCCCCCTCTCTGAGCCGCCCACGTCCAGCTTGTGGCAGTGCTGGGAGAAGGGGTCGTTATCTCAGTGCCAGAGAGTCGAGCGGGGTCCTTGTTGCTGCTCCTGGCAGCCGCTGTCAGGGAGATTCCCCGCTCAGAGCTGAGCTGAGGCCCTCACAGCTGATGCAGACCCCCAGCCTGCTCCCCCGGAGCCCCGTGGCACTGCGTGCATCGGTGCAGCTGGCAGGAGCAGAAGGGCTCCCAGTGCCCGGCTACCCTGACGCTGCCCCGGCCCTGTCGTGTGTTCCAGCCCCCCGGAGCGGGTGGTACCCCTGCTGCGGCATGTGCAGGAGCGCGGGAACACGACCGTCTATGAGTGGAGGAGGGGGGTGGAGCCCACCACGGTGGAGCGCCCACGGGCGGAGGAGGCGCCCGAGAAGCAGGACGAGGAGGCGGTAGGTGCCGGCCAGGCTGCCATCGAATGGAAGAGACTATGGCCCAAGGGGGGTTGCTAAGCAGGTGGGCCCAAGTCTAAATGCCCAGTTTGCCTTGCATGGTACAGAGGCAGTGGGGCAGGCCCAGTGAATTGACCCAGACTCAACCCAGTCTTTCCTGATTGGCTTATTCTCATGCCCAGCCAGGCCGACTGAGCCCTGCATCTTCCCCAGGGAGAGAAGTTGAGTCCCAGGAGTTCACTGGCAGGCAGAGACCTGAGAAAAGCAGGTCCTCTCTGCTCTGCATGGAGCTCACAGGTCCTGTGGTTTGCTCTGGGGTTTGCTCCTGGGTCCTTCTCCAGAATGTTCCTTCCCCTCCGTGCTGTAGGCTGCGCTGGGCACTGGTTCCGCCCCAGAGGTGGCTGCATTTCTTTGCTGGGGAAAGGAATCCCTAGCGCTTGGGGGGGTCCTTCAGTGCAGTGTAAACATACAGGATCACCCTCCTCCCTGCACTTTCCAGCGCTGCCTGGTCATGCCGAGGTACCACAAGAACCGGCGGCTCCTCCGGGACTTCTGGCGTGATTTCCAGCCTCCCGGAGAGCATCTGAAACAAGCTTCTGAGGGTCACCCCTGGCTTGTGTGAAGGGGATGCTGGTCTCCCAGGTGCTTGGGCAGCATCTTCCAGAGCGAGCCGGGATAGCGCCTGGGGGTCCAGAGCAGCGAGAGGAGAGGTGTCTCCGGGGGCCAAGGAGATCAGCTCAGCCTGGAGCTGCCAGCTAGAGAGAGCACAAGGGCAGGCAGCCCCATGCTCCAGGCTCTCGCAGCCTGGTGCCGATTAGAGCTCCTCTTTCGGGGGGGGTCTTGCTCTTCTCATTGCAGATCGACTGGGGGGACTTAGGGGTGGAGTCCGCACCTGCCCCCGTGGGGGTTGATTACAGCATCTCTGGTGAAGACGGAACCCAGGCCGAGGAGGTCGACTGGGGGATCTCACTGGAACCTGACCCACAGGTGGGTGTGTGCTGTACCCCTCTTCCCCCTGCTGAGCAGCCACCAGCCAGGCAGCTACTCACCCCATGGGATCACAACTGTGCTGCACAGTACAGGCTGGATCCGGTCTGGCTGGGACCCTGGGGGAAGGCGTAAACTGTGGAGGCAATGTGGCCTAGTGGCTAGAGCACTGGACTGGGACTCAGACCTGGGTTCCATTCCCAGCGCTGCCACTGGCCCCGCTGAGTGAGTTCCCGCCCCATGCCTCAGTTTCCCCATCTGTAAAATGGGGATGATCCTATGTAAAGTGCTAGCTCTTGGCTGCTTCTCTCTCAAGGCGAGGGCAGCTCAGGGCTCCCATCCTGGGGGCGGCGCTATGGGGCAGAGCACCTGTTCTTACAGGAGGCTGCGTTTGACTCGCTGCAGGGAGCCGGCACTGACGGGATAGACTGGGGAGACGGGAGTGGCGGTGACCCGGTGCAGATCACGGTGCTGGAGGCTGGCATCCAGGGTAAGGTCCTCGTTCTCTGTCTCTCTGCAGCCCCGGGGCGGCTGGCAGTGTCAGGGGCAGTCGAGCAAAGTGGGGTGGGCGGCTGGTGCGGAGGCAGGGCGGGGAAGGTACTTGAGAACCGTGCAGCTGGGATCGTAACCTCTGCCACCCTCCCAGGTGCCTGTCTGTGGCCTTCTCCTTCCCAGTCTCTAACCTGCGCCGATATTGGCCTCAGAGACTCTGTCACACTGGGGTGCCGGCTGACTCCCTGGCGGAGCTCGGGGGTGTTGGTGGGGGGAATTTTGCTCGGAAGGGACAGGGCGGTGGGGGCTGAGGTTCCCAAATGCGTGGAGCCAGCAGAGCTTTTCCTGGGGTGGGGGAAGGGAGTCAGGCCCCTGGCACGGCCAGCGGGGCACACCTGGCACGTGAGTGGAGTTAGCACCAGAAGGAAAATCAGGTAGCCACTAGAGGGCGCCGGGGGATGGCACGTCCTACCTCGGGCACTGGGTTCGCATTGGCTCTCAATGCAGAAGGATGCCAGGTCTGGAAGGAGGCCGGCTGCTCCCCTGGGGGCTTCGCCAGGGCGGCTGGGCCCAGCGCTGTGCTCGCCAGGCCGGTCTTGCTGGGTGGCTGCCCCAGGAAAGTATGTGGAGCTCTGTGGTGAGGGGCAGTGACTCGAGGCGATCTGGTGCCCGGGTGGGGAGCCCACCCAGACCCTCCGCGGCTGCTCAGTGAGGTCTCCCCCTGCCCTGTGTGCTTCTCCTGTTCAGTCCCAGATGGAGTCGCCCGAGGGCCTGATGCTCTGACCCTCCTGGAGAACCCGGAGACCCGGAGCCAGTTCATCGACGAGCTGATGGAGGTATCCCGGGACAGGGCTTATCACACACTAAGGAATTAAGGGGGAGTGGGGTATGTTGCTATCCCCCTCATACACCTGGGGAAACTGAGTCACGGAGCAGTCTAAGACATACTGCCTCAATGGCAAAGCCTGGAATAGAACCCAGGAGTCCTGAGTTCCAGACCCCCTTGTTCTGACAGTTGGACCCCCCAGAGCTGGCAACAGAACCCAGCGATCCAAACTCCTGGTTATTTCCTGGGAGCTCTGCCCAGAGCCTGCATCCAAAGGATTTCTGCCTTTCTAGTGAGGGCTGAGCTGGCTCATGGGTGGGAAGGGGCCCCGCATCCTGGGCTGCGGGAACTCTGTGTTCTCCAAGGGGTTTGAAAGGGCCGTGCTCCGCGTACGCCGGGGTGTCCACGCCTGCTCCCCACTCTCCGCCTCCCCGTCCCTCCCCAGCTAGAGACCTTCCTGTCCCAGCGCGTCGTGGAAATGAGCGAAGAGGCCGACGTGGTGTCGGTGAGCCAGTTCCAGCTGGCCCCGCCCATCCTGCAGGGCCAGACCGCAGAGAAGGTGGGCGCCATGGCGGCGGCTGTCCGGGAGCTGATTGGCCGGCTGATCAACCTGCGGATGCAGCACCTCTTCCTGATCCTGGCCTCCCCGAGGTGCGTGGGGGCCCCTTCCTCTCTCCCAGCCTGCGCTGTAGGGGGGGCGAGCCCGTTCTTTCCTGTGGGGACGGGGAGGTTTGTCCTCAAGGGAGGGGACGCTAGGGTCGGGGGAACAGAGTGAAGCTAGCTCTGGGGTAGCCTTTGCAGAGGCAGCCCCTGGGGGGGGCGGGGGGACAGTGGTCTTGATGGCATTGAAGGGGAGGGTGTTGATGGTGCACCTGGGTCTCGTGGGGCAGGTACGTGGACCGTGTGAGCGAGCTCCTGCGCCAGAAGCTGAAGCAGGCAGAGCTGCTGGTGCTGAAGAAGGAGCTCATGGCGCAGAAGAGGCAGGAGGTGCTGGAGGAGCAGGGTGCCCTCGAGCCCAAACTCGACCTGCTGGTGCACAAAACCAAGGAGCTGCAGAAACTGGTAAGAAATGGGGAAGGGCCCCCGGCACCCCTGGCCTTGGGACATGGGGCCGCTGGTGCGATCTTGCCCCTGTGAGGCGGGGCCCCCGAGTCAGATCTCACCTGCATGGTGCCCCCTGCCCATGACGCGGGGCCCACAAGTCAGATCTCCCCCATGGCGAGGGCCCCCCCCCCATCAGATCTCACCTGTGCAGCACCCCCTCCCCCAGGAGGCAGGGCTCCCAAGTCAGATCTGACCCACACGGCGCCCCCCTCTCTGTGACACGGGGCCCCAGTCAGATCTCACCCTCACGGTGCCCCCTCCCTGTGACGTAGGGGTCCCGAATCAGATGCTGCCCGCATGGTGCCCCCTTTCTTTCCCATGTAGCCGCAGGCCCCTGAGTTTGATTTCATGCACGACAGCTCCCAGCCTGTGTAACTCAGGCTTCGTTGTCCTCAGCACTTCCTCCCCCTCCATGGAGTCCCTGCCCCTCCCACCAGTCATCCTTGGGGGGGCTGCCCTCTCCCCCAGTAACCCCACCCCGGGCCTGAACCTGTGCCCTGTCTTTCAGATTGAAGCAGACATTTCCAAACGGTACAGTGGGCGCCCTGTGAATCTGATGGGCACCTCCCTGTGACCTCCCCACGGTGACGCAGCCCCCTATGGAGCCGGGGTCCCCCGAAGGGGCCGGACAGGGGAGGCTTCCCCAGGGCTCTGCTAATCAGGACTTGCTCACGTTGTAAGGAGTAGACGTGTACGGGGGGAAGGCTGCTAACTGCGGCTTTTGCCCTTTCCGGGGACTCCAGGCAGCCAGGAGGGAATTGTTCAATAAAGCGGGGGAAGCTCCATCCTCAGCCTGCTCCTCATGTGAATTCAGACCTCGATTCCTCTGGCCCGGCCTGCAGTGTCTTTCACTGGGACGCTGGCCCCGCCCCCTGCACGGGGCAGAGACCCCTCCCCTGTGCGTCTACCCAGGACACTGATTCTTCCCCCTGCCCCAGGGCAGACCCCCTGTGCATCTCACGGGGACCCTGATCCCTGCCCCGCTTTGAGCAGGAAGATTGTCACTGGGTGGGGACCTAGTGTTCCTTCCCCGGAGCTGCTCCCCCCGCAATTGGCCCAGCGCCTAGGGATCTGAGCCGGGGTCAGGCAAGAAGTGGGGCTGCCAGCAGGAGCCCTCCTTTTCCCCTGCCCGACGCTCTTCCATCAAGCCACTGCCAAGTGCTTTACCTGGCTGCTTGTTATCAAGACAGCTCCCAGTCCAGCCTGCGGCACCCAGCTGGCCCGTGTCAAGTGCGGAGGCCGGCAGTGCTGCGAAATGCCCCCCAGCCTGCTGGGAACTGCCTCTGCTCCCCAGGGGCCCTCTTGACGCCTTGCTCCAGGCTGGGCCCTGCCCCACCCCTCCCGCTGTGCTCCCGGGCGGCTTTTGGGGTGAGGGTTTGGGGGGGATTCAATTTTAATTTCATAGCAGAGCAGTTGATTCATGGCTCTTTGTCGCTGGCGTTGACTCCCGTAATGACTTTCCATCAAAATGAAAAGTGGAGTGACACCGCTCATTATTCCTGCTGCTTGTTATCTCAGTCGTGGGGGAGGGCCGCCCCCTCCCCACTGCCTTTCAACCGGCTCGGACAGTGAGTGATGGTCCCTATTAATCACCGACCCCGCGGACTCCGGCGGACACGCGCTATCCGCAGGAGAAGGGGGAGAGAGATAAGGCACCGGCAACCGCTCCGATCAATTAACGTCAAGAGGCGTCACCCCTCGGCCTCGCCCCCTTTGGGGGGCGGTGATGGCGGGAGTGGGCAAGGCACAGGAAAGGAGCGTTTGCACCTCCTGCACTGATTGGATCCCCCTCCAGTGCTCGCCAGCCCCCAAGGCCAGCTCCGTGCCGGGGTTGGAAGGCCTGTAACCCCCTCGTGGCTCTTCAGCCAGTAGAGGGCACCCCCGGGAAGCTGTTTATTTTGCACAGGCTCTCCCTGCCACAGGCCACTGATCCAATCCCGTCTGCTGTCCCGCCTCCTGTCGTCTCCCACCAGCCCATTGGTCCCATCTCCTTCTCCATCCCACCTCCAGCGTGGACCTGGATGCTACCTGGAGTTTCAAAAGAAACCACCTCCCATCCCCAGTCCTCCCCCCGCCCCGCTCTCTGCTCAGCTCCTGCTGTGCCCTCCCCCCAAGGAGGGGGGGGGTCCACCTCAGCTCTGGCAGTGTTGGGGAGAGCGCCCACTACGTGCTCAGAGCTGTGCAGTTGGAGAGGAAGAGATCGCCCTGCCCCAAGGAGTTCCCTGTGTGAACATCCGGGGTGGGAGAAGGGATGCAGCCCACCAGCAGAGAAATCTAGGCAGGTGGGGATCTGGGCAGCGACTTGGCTCCAGGTTGGTTTGGGGGTAGGGAGAGGCGGGTGATGGGGTAGAAAGAGACAAGGGCTGAGGGAGGGGCATTGTGCCAGGAGCAGTGTGAGAGTCCAGGAGTAGGTGGTGACACAGCTGGGCCGGTTAGTGCTCGTGGGTTGGTGCGTGGCACGGGGCGAAGCCGAGCTAGCAGGGGAGAGGCCTGGTGTTGCCGTGAGCAGTGAGGGGCTGGAGACTGATGGCTCTGCATCCACGGCTGTTGTGGGACTCCCTGGGGGAGGAGAGAGCATTGGGGGCATCCCGGTGCCACCACCCCCACATAGCAGGGAATCCACTGGGCCTGGCACAGCTGGTGCCTGGCATTAGGGTATCCTGGCAGGCCCCTGCCCTCTGCTGTGGGGCTTGCTGCTGGAGTGTGCCTGCCCTGCACCTAGACCCTGCAGCAGCAGACTTGGGGCCCCTTGTAGCTTGATAACATAGTGCTGGTGACATTGCCTACGGGCTGGGCCCAGAGCCCATGAGTTCAGTGGGCAACGGGGCCAGCCCTTGGTGAGCTGCTGTCGTGGACAGGCGCTGCCAATCTCCATTAGGGCCCGTCAGCTCTTCCCCAGCACCCCCACACGGGTGGCGTCCTCTCTGCAGCTAGGTACACGTGAGGCAGGCAGAGAGCTTGTCAGCTGTTCGCCAGAATAAATCCAGGGGCAGCGAGTTCCCCCGGTTAACGATGCAGCTTTGCCCTGCACAGCGTCTTTGGCAGGGATGGTCCCAGGCGTGGCGCTGTTTGACGGGGCCAGACGTTGAGCTGAGCTGTGTGTTGATTTCAGATGTGGGCTTTCAGTGCCCTTTGCTGGTATCCCTTGTTCTGTAACTTTCCTCTCAAGGCCCTTCATCCACCCCGGATGCCCCTCGCTGGGACAAGAGGGCCACCGAGGGGCCATCTCAGCCTGGCTGGGCGCTTTGAGCTCCTGCAGGGTGAAAGGGGAGTCCCTCCCCCTGCAGTGGGGGTGGCCCCGGCTCTTGCTGATGTCAGTGGCTCCCTCTTTGGAGTTTACGTTCTACTGGGTGAATCTAGAGTTGGTTGGAGGTGCTGGATCGAGGGCCCTGGAACCCCCCACCGGGCTGAGGGGGGCATTCTGTCTCCATGGCCCGCCCACGCCTGGGCTGCCCGCACAGGGGCTTGCAATTTAACCAGGAACTGGCCTGAGAGCTTCCTCCACTCGTAACCAGCTTTGCCTTTGGGTCTCTGCCTCCCCCGGCTGGGTTTGGGGGTGATAAGGCTGCAGCCCAGACACCGGAAGCTCATCTGCCTGCGGCAGCTCCCCTCACACACATACCTTGTCCTAATCCCTCCCCCCCACATCTCATTGCCCCAGTCCCCTCCCCAGTCAGGCCCCTTCCCCATCCTGCTCCCAGGCCTGGAGTCGGACCAGCCCATGCTGGGCGGCAGTTACTGCTCCAGATCAAGCTCCCTCGACCGCTCGAGGGGCAGTGGCTGTGGGGGGGTTTCTCACTCAGTGGACGCCTCCTCCCCACATCCTCCTGTGGGAACCTGCAGGGGCTGTGGACTCTGCCTCAGGTGGCCCCAGTGAGATTGTCCCCATCCCGCTCCCTTGCCCAGCCAGGAGGGGTCACTGCTGAGCTGCTCCTGGATGGAATGAGCCCAACCTCTGCCCTCGCCATGCCCTCTCGGCCCAGCTCAGCCAGCCTCGTCGGGCTCCCTTGTGCGGCTGGCCCGTGCGGGCCTGATCCCCTCCTCAATACCCACCTCCCCGTGGGCCTGCTCTGTGTCTGAGTCCGCTCCCGAGGGTCCCCAGCCTTGCATTCCTGTGGATCCAAAACAGCCCCGTTCCTAGTGCTCCCAGCCGGGCATTAGCAGGGTCAGCTGGGACAGGGCGGTCCAACGCGGCCCTTCCCCCTGTGAGCGGGACTCCCCCACACTGAGCTGATGGACCACTTCTGGGGGGGAGCTATTCTCTGGCTGGATCCCACTGCCCTAGCCTGGTATCTCCCCTGCCTCCTTGCCCCCACCCCATCCCACTGCCCTACCTTAGCATGGCAGAGATGCCCCATCCTGCCTGCTGCCCTTGCACCTCACCGTGCCCTGCCTGGCCTCCCTGCCCCATTGCCCCTCCGCCCGGTCCCCATTTGAAATCAACACGGGTGAAATATTTAAACTTCTCCGGCACGTCTAATCCAAAGTTCTGGGCTATTTCCCACCTTGGCGATCCATTAACGTCGCCCCGCTGCCCTGGCCCCCCGCGCCGCCTCCCCCCAAAACCCCCCGCGCCGCGAACCCATTTGTCAAACGCTGCCGCAGGCTGCGCTTGGCTGTGTCTGAAAGGACGAGGCGCCGTGGCAGGGGAAGGTGAAGATGAATAAAGGGGCTATGCAAATTGCTGCTTAATCTGCAGAGAAACACCCAGGCTTGGGGGAGACTCTCATTACTCCTCGTAACTGTGATTAACGGACGAATTAAACGGCGCCCTTAACTCGTTCCTGGCCACAGGCACGAAGGCCCCAACTCCCTGCCTGGTGCCAGGAGAGCGAGATGGCAGTGAATCCAGGTGGAGCCCTTTCTGCAGCGGGAGGAGGCTTCTGCTCCGGGCGGCAGTGGGTGTCAGAGTGGGGCAGATGAACACTTGTCTCCCAGCCCACTGTGTGCAGGGGGTGCAGAAGCCACCTGTGAATTTGAGGGGGGGCGGATTGTGAGGGAGGGAGAAGGAGCCACCTCCAGGATGGGAAGAGGGTCCTGGGGGTTCCTAGCTTCTCCCTGACCTACTCGAGCCCCATCTTCCTGCTCTGATCCCGGCCCCATCCTTGTCTCCAGGGCCCGCCCAGGCATGCATGAGTTTACCCAGGAGCAGAGCCTGGCACTAGTCCCCTTCCATCTCCCCCAACTCCGGCGATTGGGGCGGATTTGCTCTTGTCCCCATTGCAGTAATAGGGGTGTTGTGTGTATTCCGGTAGCACCCAGAGGCCCCAGCTGAGATCCGTGCCCTGGCACGCAAGGTGCTGTACAGAGGCAGTCCCTGCCCTGAAGAGATGAGCTGGGAGCATCGTTTGGCCCCTTTTGTCCAGATGGGGAAATGAGGCCCAGAGGGGTGCGGTGACCCGCCCGAGGTCACCCGGCAGAGAACCCAGGAGTCCTGACTCCTGATCACAAGCTGGGCGTGTCATTCTCGTCTGCCAAGGCGAGGGCTCTCTGGGCATGCCCCCTGGCATGGGTATGGGCGGTGTTACAGGGAGATAGTTGTAGGGGCAATTAGCCAGAGGCAGGCTGCAGCCCTCCCCTGCTTCGCAGCCCAGCTCTAGGCTCTTTCAGGCATGTTTATAAGGGCCCCAGGGCGGTAAGTGAGATGGGCAGGCAGTAGGCATGTGACAGCCCCAGCAGGAGGCTGACCAGCCCTGCCCCCCTTTGCACTAAGAAGGGTGCCATCCCCGGGTGGGCTGCCCTGACAGACTCCCCGGTGCGGAGCAAGAAGGTGCTGTCCTTGGGGGC